ATTGATTATGCGTAAACATCTGTTCCTATTTAATTTTTCGCTACTATACTGATTCCACCAAGCTTATTTGTTACAAAGAAAATCACCTATCACTATTTATTTATTATTCATCTAGACGTATGTGATTTTTTGACCAGCAGCTATTTCCTTTAAAATAAGTATTTCTTTTAAATTTTAATTTTGTTGTACAGATGCATGTAATAGAACCCTTTTTTTTTATTGCAAAAATGGTTGAAAACGAAGTCTCACATGTTCTTATAATTTGAAAATTCAACGGTAAACAAAACAAATTATCAAAATAATGAATACAATTTTTTTATTTAATCTTTCACATGAATGAAAACTTACCGACATACTAATTATTACTTTATAAATATTTGAAATATCAATCTCATAATATTATGTTCATATATTCAAGTGCAACAAGAATTCCTTAGTTTATATTATTATTCTTTAAAAATAACAAATAAATTATTTTGAAAATAAATAATCAATTATAGTAAATTACAATCATAAATAACGTAATTCATTTTTTTATATTCTCTAAATTTGACAGATCACAGTATCTGGTTACGTATAACATTTTTTATACTACCATCTCATACTTCACACTATCCTCGTTAAGATTTAAGTATTTTAAACTCAAATATCTGGTCCCTAGTTACATGTAAACATTTCAAAATTCTCGGTCCACAAGGAAGATGAGTGGGAAGATGTGGGGGTTAAGTCCCACATGTCACCCTTTTACACACACACACACACTATATTATTGTGTAAGCTGTAACAAGGATACATCGATTTGTCCGTTGAACTGTTACTGTTTATCGATCGGAACAGGCCATGCGAATTTAGTACATTCATCGTCACTCTCTCTCCACAGTTATACATAGCCGCTATAGATGACATCTACATATATACACAGATACGTACACATTTACGGAATGGGCCATCATCATCAATTTCATGATGTTGCAAAATGGCTGAGAGATCTTACACAAGTGATGATGGTGGTGATTCATCACCTGAGCTCATCATCTCACAGAAAAATGGCTTCATATATATATATATATATAGTGACCTTTCACTTCATGAAATTCAAATTAGTTACCTCGTTTTATCAATTTCATTAAGATGATCGATCCAGTCGATCTTCCATCGTATTAGCGGCCGGAATTCCATTTTTCTTCTGAAGAATCGTTGTTTCAAGTAAATATCTAATCCAAATAAAGCTCAACATCCACTATCCTAACCCGATAACCTGATAAAGTATGCAGAAACTTCGCGCTGATATATATATATATATATATTTATGTATGTATATTGCTGGGTATATAAAGCTCCGAAGCTGGTTCAAGTCAGAAAGTAATGGCTAGTTTGGTTGAAGAGGAAGGCAGAAATTTTGAGGCCTTTCTTTTTTCTTTTTCTGTCCACGAATTTCTGGAGAGCTGGGGCTCTAGATTATTGTGTCATCCGTGTTTTATATATATAAAAGGTAGACAACAAGGAATCATATCTTTACAAAAACCCCATCTCGTTAAGTTCACCACTGATCTTTTTCTGCAACAACGCAGCTGAACTTGCAGATGCAAAAGATAATGGTCAGACGCATAAAACCAGGGAAAAAAAAAGATAAGAAAAAAAACTCTAGACCAACAGACAACTGTACGGCAAATTCATCATTATAGTCTTCTGACTTCCTAAAATGAAAAAGAAAATGAACAGTGCCAGTTTACACCTACTGTGACACCAATCAATTGTGTGTGTGTGTGTGTGTGTGTCCACTTTTGTCTTCAGAATAATTTAACCTTGACTTGGGCGTGCAAAAATGAACCAGATCAGCTTGACTATTGTTGGATTTATATAGAAGTCACTAGGGTTTCGAATTGAATCCATTTAGGGTTAACGTTTAAGTTGAGAATCTGTAAAGAAAAAACTGTGTGTGTGTGTGTGTGTAGGTTCAGTGGGGGCGTTCAGCTTTTGACCAGTATAACTGCAGCATAGCAGCTACAATAGTAATGCAGTGTTCTGAACTTCGCTCAATTATTTTGGTGAAGATTCCAATTTTCTGGACAGTTTTGTTTGTGGGGGAAAAAGCTGCAAGTCTCCTCCTAATTCTCTCAATCCAGCACTCAAACTGTGTGCCAGCGTTTTAAGGTTTCTCCTTTTTTTGAAACTTTACTTATGGACTTCTCTTCTTCAATTACCAATTATATACTGATACAGTTAGATTTAGCGAGTGATTAAGAGAACTGATTGGACACTACGCCGTATCTACAAGTATATACATATACATATATATATATATGAACACTGTTTGTTTAAGCATAATCTCATTGACTATAGAGTAGAAGATTATTCTCCAGTTTTTCCTTTTGAAATCTTTCTTTAACAGGACTGAAAGAACCAGTTAATTACAGCTAGGGTTTCTCCTGTCATTATATTTTTCCTTCGATATCTTCTCTTGAAGCGCTCAATATCTTGTATATCCGTCCTTATGTTTCTAGCTATTAGTTCAAATTCTTGGATTTAACTTGAAGAATAGATTCATATGATCTCTGAGAAATTTTCCAGTTTAATCTGATGATGCCCATACATGACATCTAGATTTAAATTAATATCAGACTAGCTCATAAGTGAACAGTTTTGAAGCCTTGCTTGTTATGCCATATTTGGTAAAGTTATAGGGAACTTAATAATTCATGTTACTCTTAAGAATATGGAAACTTTCTACAAGTCATCAATAGAACAACTATTTAATATACCCTTGTAAGTAACTGAATTTCAAAGAAACAAAAAAGATACAGAATTAGATGATAAGACGAGCTCATTAATCTTAATTAGGAAAACAATAATAATGAAAGAGATAACATGACGTTATATATATATATGTATGGATCCAAATTGTGCCGTGCAAATCTCACTGCCATCTGCGAGTGGTCCTGTTCTACAAGTGGATGCTTTAGAGAACCAAAGTTGGTCCCTCATCTGTAAGAATAGCGCAGCTACCTATATATACATATATCTATCTATCTATCACACCTAATCCAATTCATCATCTGATCACTACCTTTGCTTACACCACGACTTTTGGAAGTTACTGATTGAAGTTACTGATTATGACTTTTCTAGTTCAATTTCCAGTCTACACAAACATATCCCACTTTATACCCACTACTTTTTTTAATTTATGATCTAATCTGAACCATTCACTTGCTATTCCTACGCTCTCATAATTTAGTTTTGCCTTTAGCAAGAAGCTAAATTTGTAAACTTTTCAAACTCTACACCTATTATGAACATTCAAATATGATTCTATAAAAGGGACATATGTGTGTTTATATATATATATATAGAAATTTTCAAAATAAATTAAGGAATGCGTTCTTCAATCATGTTGGAGGAATTTCTCTGGTCAAGATATTTAGTTGCATGTCCTAAAAAGAGTAAACTAGTGTGTGTATACTATGTTACTTTTTCCCAACAGTGTTCTGAATTTTTTTAAATTAAAAGGTTACGATATGAAGTTACAAGCGAGAATTAACCTATAACCTCCTATTTATTGGAGAATTATTCACTGTGTCTTTAGATACAATGTGATTGTTGTTTGGTAAACAAGAATTAGGCTAGTGTTGGCAGGCTACTAGTGATTTGGAATTTTAGATAGCTAGCTAAACATATTAATTAAGGCAGTGTTGTTTGGTATTTGCTTTGGTGATAGAAATTAAGAATGAAGGCAATTGATTCTGGTTGACATGTCACTTTACAAGGGAAGGGCCAATTTGGTCAAGAAGTAATTAGTCGTGCAATACTGTGTGATGTGTGCATTCGAGAGGGTTGGAATATTGGATTATGAATTGAGACCCATGTGAACCCTACACACTTGCCAACAAAATATCCCAACCCTACCTTTTACGCACACAGGCACAAATACAATACATTTAGATATATATAAAAAGTATATAATAAATGTATAACTGAGATAATATCATCCATACAGAATCACATTCTTTCTTTTTTTTTTTTTTGAAATATAGATAATCATAAATGCATAAATATAGACTATATACATTACAGCCTTTATACAGTGTAACATCATTGTCAAAATTTCCTTTGATTCTTTTGAAAGCTTTCTGCTTACATAATCCGATTTATGAAAGATGAATAAATTAAATTAGTCACTTATAACTAATCAGATAAGAGGCCATTCAGATCCTTTTTATGACCCAAAAAAAAAAACGAATATGTAGACGATATATTCGTTGACAGATATAAAAAGAGATGAGTAGATGAATATATATATAAATATATATATAATTATGAAACGTGAATTTCTTATACCATTCTTTCTATAAATACATGTAAATATAAATGGGAAAAAAAATCCAAATTGGATTTAAGAACCGAGTCTCAACCAATATATGAAAAATAAGTTCATCATGTGTGTATATATATTCATACATATATACTGCATCCGATATTTAATATAGGACCTTGTTTGACTTTTATTTTGGTTCTAAATATAAGATCCCAGTTCTCTTTGTCTCTAATATTTACGTATTTTTTTTCTAAGATAATCCTTCTAACAACAGTAGTTCTAGCCAATACACTTGATTAGTAAAAATATTTTAGGAAAGACAACACCTATTTATGACAAATAACTAACTTAATTTATTTTCTTAATCTCCTCAAATTAGTCAACTAGCTCTTATAATTAGTACTGGAGGTAGTATATTGACAGTGATTACTTAACTTATCTAGCTATCTCTTTTTCTTTAACAGACGATTGGATTTATTCAAGAGATTTTCTCCGTTCTTCTTTCCCCATTGGAAATTAAATTAAATTAAATTGACTTAATGACCTGAAACGGGGTGCATTAATGAGACTCCAATAAGTGTTTGAAGAAATTAAAAGGGACCAAAAGTGAGCTTGAGGTCATATATATCTGATCTGTTCAATTCTTTTCGACAGTACTGAAGAGCTCATTTTGGGGCCGGGAAAGGCTTTTTCCGTGTTTCCTGCTTCCTCTTCCTCATCTTCTCTTTCTTCTCCATGGCGGAAAGCTTATAACAACGCAAGTCACAAACAGCTCCAGCTGGAATCTTCTCTCTTTTTCTCTCTCCCCCCCCACGTAAGGTACAGTCCCGTTAAACTGAATTATTAAAGTTGGTCTGTTCGTTACTCTTTGCATTCAAGTGTTCTCAGTACCACTGATCCAAATGATCCTTGATTTGGCATAATTTTCCTGTCAGGCCATCGGATTTTGGCCTCGATTTTATTTCATAAACTTCGAATTTAGTGAATTCAGTTTCTTTGCCCTAATTCTGGAGCAAATTACACAACTTTTCTGCACCAGCTATGGAACTGTAAGCCAAACTGATTTCACCAAAGAATTACTCATTTTTTTATACTTGAACTTAGATCTCTATATCATGATTCTGAACAAACGCGAACGTTTTTCATATCTCTCCATGTATTGAGTATGCCAGAATTTCGGAAAACTGAAACAGACAGCATTAAAGATCATTTTTATATACCAATCCTATGAAATTAAACTTCTTTCTCATGTTTTAGAGCAGTTCGATCGACGAGGAGACTTCATAAGGTACTGTATTGGATGTTATGAAGAAGGAGACAACCAAAGAGAGATAATTAGAAAGAAGAAGATGAGTGAAGATTCAAGAGAAGGCTATTACAAAGCCAAGCAAGAGGGAGCTACCATGAACAACAAGATCGACAAATTCTCAAAGGTACCTTCTTCAAGACAGTGGCCTGGCTTTAGAAATCCAAGAATCGTACGAGTTTCTCGATCTTTCGGAGGAAAAGATAGGCATAGCAAAGTCTTCACCATAAGAGGACTAAGAGACAGAAGGATTAGGCTATCAGTTCCCACAGCAGTTCAGCTTTATGATCTTCAAGATAGGCTTGGATTTAGCCAACCCAGTAAGGTCATAGATTGGTTGCTTGAAGCCACAAAGTATGATATTGATAAGCTCCCACCTCTTCAAATGCCTTATGGCTTCCCTCAATTTCATCCACAAGCCCTACTTCCTCACCACCATGAACCAGCAATATCTTTGCACTCTTCTCTTGATATAGGATCTGTGTTTGAGAAAGGAAAGTGGGTCAAAGCAAGTGAAGAAGAAAATGAGGATAATGGGTTTGGTGAGATCCCATTTCAGAAGCATTTTCCCTCGGGGGCTCATCAGTACTATAATGGCATGCCATGTAATTATAACCCCTATCAGTTGGAACCTGCGAGCCTATCTTTATCCCAATTTGGAAGCCATGGATTAGTGTTTCCTTCACAGACAGAATATGCGAACACTCAAAGCAGTAGCGGCAACGGCGTGCAATTTTCATCTTCTTTGCCTGCTGTAGCACCACAACCTTCTGGTTCTAGTAAATTACTGTTTTGCCCACCTTCTTCTTCTTCTTCTGCTGCCACAGTACCCTCGTTTTTTCTTCCACATCAGATTGCCACCTCAGCAGAAGACAGTGATCCGAGGGGACAATTCAGGAACCATGTTCAGTTCTTGAGCTCGTCAAGTTCTCATGTACCAGCAGCAACTCCTAATTACCCTCACATTTCATGTCTGAAACCTCTCCCAGTACCATTTACTTCTAAGCTTCTTGATTCAGATCATAATAATAATCAACCAAACAAAGGAAGTACCCTTCCATTCATATCTCATAGTTGATATTGTAACCCTAAACAACTTCTTCATCATCATGCGAGATGCTTACTTCTTTTGGATATTCTTCAAAGCAGTCTGTCTATCAACATGCTGAAGCATGCTCCGTTTTATGAAGCTATATGGTGATGAATATACGAACGCACGCTCGTTTGTAAGTATGGCATTACTATATATACGTGTGTGTGTGAGATTATATTTGGGATATGGTTAAGTTTGAATCTGTGGTTTCTGGGTGCTACATATATATACCAGGTGTTGGCAAAACCATATTATTATGGGTGCAATTCAGAAAAAAAATAAAGCTAAAATGACGTTCATTTTGCTTTTATATGCATGCACTTATTTAATTGTTGGGAAAACCCACCACTTTGTTTTCTAATTTCTGTTCATTAGGGCAGTGTCGTCACAGAGAACTTTACCAATTAAGTATGCATCTTGAGATTTTGATCATTTTATATAATTACTTACTTTCATTTCGGAAATGCATCAAATGGATGATCAAGAAATAAGAAGTAACTAACCTTAAAAGCCAATCTCTTATTAGTTGAATCACCCTAACAATTAACCATATATATTATAGGAGAATTTAACTAGGTTTTTAGATAGTTAATAAAGACAGTAATCAATTCATCACGCTACGTACATACCTGGAGAGAGAAGGATCACATACAAGAAAATCCCAGGATGTAGAGGTATATACGTGTGATGTAGATAATTTTATGGACTTGTTGCTTTTAGGCTCAATATGTTTACGAATGTATAATTGAAAAAGCTCACACAATATAGCTACGTACACAGAAGCAGCTCTGTTACACACACACACACACACTGATGTAGTATTGTTGAGCTTGAAAGCAAGAGTGTGTGTGTGTGTGTGTGTATAGCTAGGCATATAAGTAGATGAGGAAAAAGGCTGCTGAAATGCATGCTAGCTAGCTGCTTATATAATTAATGAGAAAGCTGAGTATGTGTTTGTATTATTATTGATTATGTTGCTTCAACTTTAAAACCCTTTTATTTACTCATTCTACTTTATAGAAGCATTGAGAAAACCGAAGCAAATAGAGTTATATTATTGGTCATTATTTCAATTTGGCAAAGCCTGACTAGTGAGAAGGATTACCCATGCAAGGTAAATTTTAAAGCTTCGTACGTATGCCTTGGGTTAATTTGCATAGTAACTGCAGGATAGTCAGTTAGCTGTTTTACGGTCAGGATCATATAGATGGGGTTCTTTTGTTTTCTGCTTTAATGCTATTAGGGTACTGTGTCTACCTTATAAAAGAGGTTAATTTACATGCCACGCCTATATATTCTGGAACTTTTTTTTTTTGGAAAAAAAATAACTGCATGCTATCATACTATTATTATTAAATTATAAAAATATTTGTCTAACGTTGTCTGGTCGCAATTGGTTAGGACGGTTTGAATACTAAGAAATGACGATGATTTAATTATTGCTGGTGGAGACTCTAATTTAAAGAGAGAACTTTACTAGTGTGTATATTCACACATAGTTTCGAAAGATATAAATAATCTTTTCTTGCACCAAATAAAATTAAGAAGCCAGCAGCGTATACTTCTAGCATACATAAACAAAAATAAGTTATTCGTCGTTTCTCACTAAGAAGCTTGATATGTATAAAAATTATTTGTCCATATCTAGCTAGCTAACATTATTAACATGCAATCATATATATATGTGTGTGTGTGTGTGTGTGTAGAAGATGCAAAATAAATGGTGACTTGATAGAGAACTTGTGAGAGGCTTGTAGGGTTAATTAACATATCTCATCAATTCTAGAAATTTTCAGTTAATAATCAAAACTCTCATAATATATTGCATACATACGCAAGGTTCAATAAAGTACGTACCTAACTGAACGAAATTAAATATCACCATTACTAGTCATATGTACTATACATCAAATTATTAAATTAGGCCCACTACTAAATTAATTGTGGGCATGCAGAAACAACTTTTGCAACGATTGTTAAATTCGTCGCTAGTTAATCTCTCTCTCTCTCTCTCTCATATGCATGCAGCTAGCTACAGCAAAACATGCATTAGAGGGTCTGCTGAAAACCTACTACCTTAGTTTTTATCCAACTAAATACGATCAAAACGACCACAATATATTTTACACACACACACACACACCTTAATTTGAAACATGATGAAGAAATATATATTGAAAGGGAAAAAAGGGGAAAATGAGTCCAAATATCAAGGACTGATGATGGACCTCTTTTTAAGATAGGGATAAGACAGTATGTGGCAGAGGAGTGTTCATGTGTGTGCCCTATTTGCACAGCATGTATATTGATGAATTACGCAGAGAAGCATCCATATATATCCCGTGCACAAAGTGGAAAAGGAAGGGATTGATTATAATATATTATTGTTTTTGGAATCTGCAGTTGTCTGACACTGAAAAGGAAGGAACATAAAATCACAAGAAGCAGAGACTGAATTATCAGACATATAAGCAGTCTCTGCATCAATGCGCAATAATATATCACAAGATCCAAGAACAGCGAAATTAAATTCAAGCAGACCCAGTTATGCATCGCTGCACATTATAGGGTCTTAAAAGCCTTCTTCAACTTGGGGTGGCTTCAAACACAGTTAGAAAACGACCAAAGAATACACACATATACATATATACATACCACATACACTTGTTTTTTCTTCTCGATATGAAGTTTCTGCAGTAAAAGGTCTATGATATTTATGACTACTTTTCTAAAATCCTTTAACATGTGTAATTGTCATAAGAACTATTTTAGAGGGAAAATAAATAAATATGTGAGAAAAAATAGATTAAGATCTTATGTTTGGAACCAAATTAAATATCCAATTAGATCTTATATATATCTAAGACCGAAGGGAGTATAATATTGTGACTTATGCATGACTTCTTTAAGTTTGAATATATATGATGACGAAAATAAAGTCAATTAAGAACGCATACTCATTTTGATCTCCAATGTAAATTAATAACTTAGTGGAGAGTACTCATAGTGAAAAATGCAAGTCATATATTGTAAAATATTTGGATTATTAAATATTTTTCTAGTAAATATACCTCATTAATCAGCGAGGGAGAGAGATTAATGATAGTAAATTTATGTAAGAAGGTAAAGTATTTATCAAGAGAAATTCTTCAAAACAAAACAACTGCGGTAAATTTAAGAAGTTAAGCTATCTTTAACAACTTATCTTAATATCAGTGAAGTAATTTAGTTGTGACATACACACAAACTCAAGACCATAGGTAGTAATTAGCTTTTCCAACAAGAGATAAATATGAGTACGGTGATACAATGTTGGAAACAAATTAAAAAGGGGCTGTATATATATATATATATATATATGTCAGCACTATAGTCTAAGCTAGTTAAATATATATTAATTAATGTGATTCTCTGAAAATGAAGTATATAAAACTTCAACATGAGGAGCTTGTTAAATGGGTCATGTCCTGGAGAAGTTGGGAGTTTTCACTTTCAAAGACCATTGAATGAATGTAGAAATGGACAAAAATTAATCCTTGGGTGCTTTAGTAGGTGGGTGTGTGCGTTGTGCATGCGCTTTGTAGGCGTGCAGAGATGAATACATCTTTTGGCCTTCTGTACAAAAGCAAAACAATTTATGTGTGGTCCTTAATTGCTCTTTATAACTAAAACAAGGGACCACTTTTGTTTTCCAGAAAGAACGAACCGCATTCATATATCATCATTCATCATAATAGCTTTGGTTGATTTTTTCCCCCTCGGAGTTTAATTAGGACTATGAAGTCATGCATGTATAGAGAGTATCTCATAAGATTCACAGTTTCCAGAAAATTTGAAGGACTTCATTGCCTCACCAAGACATGATGAGAATATAGGTGGTTCTGGGAGGATTTGGATTCTATTTTTAATTTTAACATTTTGAAATGAGGCCACATTTTTTATTTGAAAAAAAATAGCGTGGAAGCTTAGCAGAACGAGAACATGCCCTTCAACGATAAAAGACAAAAGTAGCGTTTGTAGCTTCCGCTGCCCTTCAACGATGAAAGGAAGCCCCCGGCGAGGATCGAACTCGCGACCTTTCGCTTACGAAGCGAACGCACTACCACTATGCTACGGAGGCCTGGTGATATTTTCGCCCACTAAAAATTTAGTTATTGTAATTGATGCTATATCAATTCTGACGGAATTTACGGGTTATCTATTTGTAATGTCATGCCCACAAAACTACATGCGCACACACGCAGAGAGACGCTCAACTCTTGAAATTCACAATATTGTTAAAAGTCAGTTTCTTTGGTTTTTTTATGGTAACTCCCCCCCCCCCCCAAAAAAAAAAAAAAGAAGGAAAAAGCTATCTGTTCTCCTACATCTTTAACTCACACAAGAACCGTAATATTCTGAAGGACACTTGTTGAGAAAGTTTCAACGCTGTCGGTAGCGTCATGTGACCCTTGAAGGAGGAAACTTTATTTTCCCTTCTATCACTATCATTCGCCAGTTTCTTGTATCCAATTAATTTCATTGACACGTAGAACTTGTAAACACCCGGGACGGAAGTTGGGGAAACATGTGGCTGCTTCTGAGCGAGAGATATTTGAGAGCGTGTATGCTCCAAGTTTATCCCAAGTTAATAATTTTTGTACAGCTCCCCGAAAATAGTCGAGGCTCCTTTATATTGTGTGCGAGCGCATGACCTTGAATATGAGAAAAATATAAACTTCTACCCCAGAGTGAGAGGAACAAAAAAAATAAAAAACAAAAATGAAAATTTGGTTTACATTACGTTGGTCTTCGTTGGTAAATATCTGCAATGCTGAACCAAACATGCAAAACTGTTACATACGCTTCAATATAAGAATTAGTATTATGATCAAAGCCCCATCACTGAAATATTATCAAAGCATCATATCAGACATTACCGTGAAATGCATGAGCAATCGAGCATTACATGGGTAGGAGGATCCCTGAAAGTTTGACTGTTAGTGTACATGGAATAATCAGTCAAGTGACTCATAACCCTTTTGCATTGATTCCTGATGTTCATTTAACAGGGCATTTGCACAGAACAATAAGATATCTCTGGGAACAAAATAGGTAACGTATTGCAAAATTACACTTTCTCTAACTTGTGTCAGAACAGAACTCAAAAGACCTAATAACAAGATTCAGTGTGTACTTCCCTAGGTTGGAAGTCAAGTACTGTAAAACTATATGTAACACCTAAACACGTCTGACTTAAACAGCAGGCACATATATAATCAATACAATGTAAAATCAGAACCAAAACCCAAGTCATCAGAGACTAACAAAAAACTCTCCATTGCATTAAGGGCTTTGCCCTTAATTGGTCAGTAAGATCTTCGCTCCCAGCTAGAAGAGGTTCTGAAATCATTGGAGGCATTTACACTATCTATAACTTTGCGATAATAACGCCAGGATGGATTTGCTTCCCTTATCGGGCGTTGGCCAAATGGATTTGAAGCCACATACTCTCGAACATCTTCAGCCATTGCCAGCCCTTCAAGATAAGTCCGAAGATCACCTCCAGGTCCTGTGGCGACCAGAAAAGAATGCTATTGCCTTTATATACACGTCAGTGTTGTCAAGGAACTAAAACAATCTCCGGCCTATCAAAAGAGAAAAAGGAAAAAGATGTTTTTTTTTTTCTTTTTTTGGGGGGGGGGGGGATCAGAGGATTCTCACCTAACGATGAGTCTCTGAGATCTCGGTAACGGTAAGAATAAGGAAATATCGCGGTGTTCATCTGAATACGATTAGCACAAAGAAGGTAAGCAAGAGCAGGAGATACTATACAAGACTGTAGCCAGGCCTTATAAACCAATAAAAAATATTGCGGCTTACTGGATTAACTAGTGCCTTGTGAGGAGAGTCATCCAACAATAAAGTGTTTGACTCATTGAACTCTCCCTTGTCCCATGGAAGACCAGGTTCAAGCTTTTCCCACAACTTTCTAAGTTCCTTCAACACAAGGGGTTTGTCTCTGTTCTCAACGGTGCTGAAGGCTGTCATAGTACAGTGGGACTGATTCTGCAAACCCCATCATAGAAAACTCAATAGAGTCTAGAAAGATTTTATGCAAAGTGAATAACTAACTGTCATTATTTAATCAGCCGCATCTTTAGCAACAATTCTATGCGAGAAAGAAAGCTCCTTCCCCACTACAATATTAGTTGACCAGCAAGATCGTCTCCGTAACAAGAAGAAAGAATGCATAAATCATAATAAGTGCTCAACCTCTTACCTCCTTAAAAAGCTATTTAGAGTAAAAATAAGCATGCATTACAAAATATACATCTTAATAATGTCCTGAGGGAAGAAATTATATAACGTGACTGCTTGAGTTTATCACCTAACCAAAAACCCCAGCAAAAGATATGCTTCAAACAAAAATAGTTCGACAGTTTACCCAACAAAAGAGTAGCTTGGATGCAGACTTCCCCATAAGAAACTGGATCGCAGCATCAACATTATTCCTGACAATGATCAGATGCAAGTGTGAAAGAACAATTTTCTACATAGATTTGTAAATCCAACATCTCTGATGCTGAAATGCTAATTCAGTACAGCATTGCAGTTTAACCGTACGTCATATTAATAAACAAAAGCAAGCAATCATGTAACATCAGTGAAAGATTGGCAAATACTTGTGTCTTGATGACCAAACACCCACGTGAAATTTGTCAAAGCAGAAATTTAGAAAATCATCACAAAAGGGCCTCTTGAAAACTGCAAGAAGAAAAAAGCAACATATCAGTCAAATTCAATCAAACTTTATATGGGTTTCAAGTCAAAAGACAACAGAAAACAAAACAAGATATTTGACCTGATTTCTTAGAAATCCATGCATCCGGTTCATATCCAAAAGGAACATGATCAACAAAGTCAGCAAGCAATCCATTCACGTCAAGAACAAGAAGCTTCTTCTTTGAGTGGCTAGTAATAGTTCTATCTAGTGGAAAGTGTGATATCATGGAATGATCATCTTTGTTGCAGACTAAGCTTGAATCAGAAACATCACCAGAAGAAGACACATCATTTCTCAAAAATTCAACAGCACTCAGCTTTCTACCATTATCCTCTTCAAGTTGCACCTCAGGGATGTCCATAACAGGCACATCAGTTATCATTTCCTCTGAACCTCCAGCATTTGAGGTAACTTGGTTAGCTTTAGTTTCTCCATCCACCAAGTCAACTGCCAAAGGTTCATCAGAAATTTTATTTGAATAATTTTTATTATCAAATGGTTCCACGTCGTAATTTACACAACTGGAGCCAACTAATTATCCCATAATCATCATGTTTCTTCATCAGATTTTTTAGCATAACCATTGTTATCATCAAGTCCATGTTCATAAGAGATTCAATAGAGTTTTGTTTTGGCTATTGAGGACTTAAAACAACCCTTCTTCTTTACCCAAGCTTGGAACAGTTATAAATTGTATCTTGCACTATGTTCAAATTTGACACTTCTGAGATAGATTCTTTGATAAAATGCTCACCATTTACTAAAATTGAGCAGGATCTGCTGCTTGCTCCCTGAAGATCCAACTTTGAATCGCTGTTCTCTTCTGTAGCCTTTTCAAGCTTATTTTGCTCCTTTCCCACATTTTCTTCAGAACAGTTGCTTCCTGCATGTAAATTTCCTGTTACAGCATTGATGAATAACTATTGAACTAGATGCGATGGAACTATATGTACAGCAGGGACAGAAGTGTCAGTTGAAAAGGTATCAACAATACCATTAAGGTTGCTGATAGTGGCATTATGTATTGGACTCGAACTTTTCCTTCTCTTACTCGTTGTCAAGCTTACTTCTGCACTTCTTTGAGAACTTGACAAATCAGTCATAGTTGAAGAGTCTTTACATGAGTCTTTTCTAGCACCATCAGTCTCCATGAAAGAACCTTCTGGCAAAAAGTCAGGACCTGTATCTATGTTTTCAAAAATACCGTCTCTTTTCCGCTTTGTCGAGCTTCCTTCTAGACTGTTTTGGGAACTTGACAAATCAGTCATCAATGGAGAATCTTTACACAAGTCTTTTATAGTACCATCAACTTTGATTGAAGAAGCTTCCAATGAAAAATCGGGACCCATATCTACCAGTTCACCAACATTATCTCCTTTCTGCTTTGCCAAGCTTTCTTCTGCACATCTTTGGGAACTTGACACATCAGTCACAGCTGGAGACTCTTCACACGAGTCTTTTGTAATAGTGTTGGTAGTCATTGAAGAACCTTCCAGCAACGAATCAGGATCTATGTCAAATAGTTCGACTTCTTTAGTTTACAAGAATCTTCCAAATTATTATTACATCAGACTATGCATATGTTATTCACTACATCATTTTCTATAGGGCCTCCTAAACTAATAGTACAAAAAACACGAGAATCCTCCAGAACAGAATCTCTAAGAGTACCTCCTAAAATATTCATGAGGAGAGACTACAAATTCATTAGCATAGCAGTAGGATTAATCAAAACATTACCCTGTAAAACATCTAATTCAACATTCAATATTTTCAGGAAGCTTAACTCCGTATCACTTTTCTTGATATTTTTCTTTTTGATGTCAAAATAATGTCTACGTTGACCATAGGAGTCAAACTCACTTTCCAGACCTTTCAAAAAGGTAAATTCGTTACGTAGTACCCAGTGTTCACCTTATCTGTTGTTTTATAGGTCGCTACTCGCTAGTTAAGCATAAAATACAATATCTACAATATCTCCCGTTTAAATTCAGCTCTCCATCTTACCACAAGATGCAATGCATAACTCCAGCTTCCCGATGCTATACCATTCTCAAATAAACATCTTCCCCCAACCAAGCATTTTTCCTCATCAATCTTCAGTAATCATTGTTCATATCAATCCAGAAATAAGCTTTAACGAACTCATCTAGTTCAATTCCAGCAACATGAGTCAGCAATTATTATATTATCTTTCTGCCCTTTACTGAGATGCCTGTAACAATTGTGAGTTCAAGAAAAGATTAGCCTACGATGACCAACTGAACTTTCAAACCCATTGTACTCATATCACTGCCTTGAATGTTAGGCGCAGAGTACAGGGCAAAAACACCAAGGCAATCTAATACGATGATGTTGGTTGAAAAGTCAGCAGAAATGATGTCCTAGAGGAACCGAGAGCTAATCAGCAGCAGAAAGTAGATAGCAGAGCAATACGAAGTAAATTACAGAGAAAATGGAGGAAAATGAACCTGAATGGCAGGCGCAAATCGAGGGGAAAGAGAGGAATGTGCCAATAAGCAGTTAATCAGAGACGCCAACACAGAAGAAGAACAAGAAAACGGTGGAAGTGAGAGCGCCGAAAAGGAGCAAGAAAGGACAGCGACAATGAGGAAAATCGATCGCTCTGAGGCCCTAAGGAGGGATTGAAGGGCGGCTTCCCTTTTCAGTCCAAACAATCAGGACAATGGACTCTATCCCAGTGAGGATTTAAGGATTTTGAAACAGTTAAGATGGACAAGATCAAAAAAACCAATTTTCCTGTCAAAAAAATAATAAATAAATAAAATAGATCACCCAACAGATTAACATACCTTGATAATTTTTATGTCAAGTTTGTTGTTTTTTTTTTTTGCTGTAAATAACTCTGTAAGCATTTTGAATAACTTCAACTATTTCACTAAAAAAAACAGTTGGAGGATTCTATTCTAACATGTCATGGAAGAAGAGGATCTGGACAAAAGATATATACAGTAATGGGTCCCACTTATCAAATGAAATCTAGAACTTCTTTTAGTTCAATATGATCACATCATACTTCAAACTTTAAATAAATTTTTATTTAAAATTATCAAATTCACAAATTTAAATAAATTTTTTTTAAAAATATATTTGTTATATAAATTTTTATAACAGATGCTATTGTGTGAAAATTTATACATAATTTTATTTCTCTAACCACTTTGAATAACTTCAACTACTTCATAAAAAAGAGGCATATATGGAGGAGAAAGAAGAGGATTTTGTGAGAAAAAAAAGCTAGACAAAAAAACATATAGTGATGAGTTCCATTTATCAAATCAAACCTAAAACTTCTATTTAGTTATTTTGAGTCATGCATGACATTGCCAAACTTTGATTTTTAAGTAAATTTTTGTTGCCAAACTTTGAATTTTAAGTAATTTTTTTGTTAAAATCTATTAAACTTATGAGTTTATTTAAATAAATTTAAAAGATAGGTTTGTAATGTAAACTCTTAGAATAAATACTTTTAAAAAAAATTATTTTTATTAATAATTAATTAAAACTATCAAAATATACAATCATCAATATTCTTTTCATAACTTTTTGAGTAAATTATCTTGCAATTCCACACAAATAATCTAATTACTAAAAAGTCCACTGAGTTATCAATATATTATGATCTATTGTTATTATTGTTGCATGGAATATTGTTATTATCACAAGACTCATTTGTTGGGAGAGCATAGTAATTTTCTTAATTTTTTTTTTTGTCGAACCTCGCACTTGAGACATTCAATCAATCAATTTAAGGTAAAAATATTAGAGAATAGAATCCATAATATAATATAAAATTCAGAAATTTGCAATATATAAAAGGAGACCCGTATAATAATTCAAAACAAATCCATATTGATGTTCAAATTTATTTTATCTTTTTTTTTTGCCACCACAAATTTATTTTTATCATCAATAAATAATTTTTATGATCAACAACACAAATACATCGAGTTTTGCCAGAGGAGCACGGCATAAAAGATAGCAAATTAATTATGATAACTTTTAGGATGTACTGCGAAATCCGGAAGTAATTTCCCCTTTAATTTTAACATATTAGTTAAATTAGATTTACCAAAACCAAGCTTGTCAATGAGATCATGAATGATGTTTTCTTTCGTTGTTTCTTTTGGGCGACTGAATAATGTGGTATTAACATTTGCATTCTTACCCACTCATTGATCTCATCAGCTGTTTAGATATATAGACTTGTTTGGATCCTTCCATGGAAAAGTTGTTTCATGAGAGAGGAAGGGTAAATAAGAGAAATGACGAAACGAGTAGAAAAATTGACAGATAATTTAAAATTGTGATTTCATTTTTAATCAAATTATCTCTAAGATCAATGTAGATTATTAAGCATATATTAATACTAGAACTAAATCACTATAGTAGGCTTGGGAACATAGGTGATTATTTAATAAAAAAAACAAAGCCCTCCCCCGTTTTTTGTTCTGCTTCTCTATTGCATTTTCTTGTAGTCATCACATCTTTTATAAAAACATCAAAACCTAGGGCAAAACCAAATGCGTAATTGGCAAAAACTAAAATAGTAAAATGGATGAACTCTCCACGAACACTACTATACTAAATATGAAACGGTAGCTATAGATTAGAAGCAACTCACAGCAATCACTGTATAACAAAACAAAATGCATTACATACAAATTAGTCGATGCTTGATCCTGCAGCGACCTGGATTGCTGATTAACCATTGCCCCACACACTCGTCTTCTTGTAAGCATTAAATTAGGCAAAACAAATTTCCAAGAAGCACCAAAACATTCCTATTGAAATTCCACTTCTACCTGATAAGTGGCCGTTAGGAGATTGAGTATGTGGCATGAGTGACGATGGAAGATGAAGAAACATCAGGGCATGACTTCCAAGTTTCACACCTTCACATACTTATCAACATAGCCCTGCAAAATGATTAGAGAAAGGAACGTCACTAAAAGTAAAACAAAATCCCAACGACCAGACGTGGAGTTAACCGTAGATCAACTTTCAAGTATAAAAAAGGCAAGGAGAAAATTTTGCAGCGACAATTTCCAATAGAAAACTCATGAAAATCAAGTTAAAATGTCACAGTACTAGCTACGGGGGTGGGGAATGAGGGATGAGAAAATCACCATCACAAGTTTAGTCAACTTTCGCTGTGAGGAGTCAATGTATTGATTTATCTTTGCCTGAGACTTGGGCACACGGTGACCCTTCATGGCCCCTGACACCTTATCTACAGTCTTTTTCACAATGGTTTTAAAAGCCACCTTACTCATATTACCCTGCCTCCAAGAAGGCTTCAAAACCTCTTTCACAAAGTTTGCAATGGAAACTTTAAATAGTTTCATCGATCTGGAATCCTTGCTCTTCTTTCTTTTACTGGGAGATTTAACTTGATCAATCTCAATCTCACCTGTGGCCATCTTTGCACCATCCGCAGGATTACTTAGGCTCTCATTTTCCACAGCACCTACTTCTGCATCTGCTGTCTCACCATATTCATCATTATTCTGAGATGAGGTAGAGGCAGTAGCACCAACTTCCCATTGCTCGTTCTCTTCCACATCCAATGACTTTAAAGAACTTTTGGGTCTAAGACTGACGTTAGATTCACCAGTAACTTCCTGTTTTTGATCAAGATGAAATTTCCTGAGAGAAGCGGATGATGGTTCTATGCTGTCAAAAAGTGGATCATATTGGTCACTACCAGACCTTGGTAAAATCTGTCCAGTACCTCTAGCAGAATCAGGAGAAGAAGCTGTTTCTCTCGCTCCAGTGCCAAAGAAACCTTGCCCATTTACTGAAGTCCGGTGCACACTAGAAGAAGAGCCATAATTATTAACATGGATCATGTCCTTTTCCTGTTTAAAGATACTTGAACTGAATTTGGAACTGAGTGGCTGTTCAAAGGTAGATGCATAGGGATTATAGTGAGCAGAAATTCTTGATCCCCCAAGGTCCGGAAGAGAAGCTGAATGATTACTATCCAAAACATCTGGTGGATATCTGGATGCAGTTACAGTCTCCCCATGCACACCCAAATTACCATCAGATGCAGAATAATGAGAACCATAAACTGTCTGTTGCTTCTGCAACGACGGATGAATAAAGGTAGCTGACTTAAAATGCTCTTCTGCAGGCAACTTGTAACTTGAAGTCTGCAGTCTGTTGACGCCTGCCTCCCATGAGAAGGGCTTGGATTGTGATTGCAGGCTGGCAAAAGATGGGGAGCTTAAACCTTTTGAATCATGCATCGGAAGTTGCTTATAGTGGTCTTCTTTACTAATTTTAAGGTCCGAGTGTGATTGACTGACTAAGTTTCCCTGAGACAGAGGCCTTGAAGAGAAAGTTTCCACATGTGTGAGAGGTCGAGAATGCTCCTGCACTGTAGGGAAAGCTTGATCCTGAGACTGAGCACCCTGAATGTGAGAAGGCTGCCCAGTCCTCACAGAAGTCTGAGAAACAAAGTCAGTCCTCAGATGCAATTTATTTTCATTAGACTCAGAAGAAACATGAGAGGTTGGAGCCCCCGAATTCAAACTGGAACTATATGCAAATTGCGGCGGCGGCGGAGGCGGTAAAGACGTCCATGAGTTATTAGGTGGTACACAAAAGTGAGGATTTGGAGCATGCAAGATTCCGGGGCAAGGCTCTCTTCTGGTGGATTGGTAAGGAAAAGGTGTATTTTGCTGCATTGCGCCATAACCCTGGGACATTTGTGGTTGGACAGAATTTCCACTGTAAGAATGTGAAATAGCAGGTGGTAGAGGCAATTGGTAAGGATAATGCGGAAAACCCACAGAAATCTGTGCAGGCAAATCTTTTTCTTTAGAAGCCTGAGATCTCAGTGGAGACCGCTCTGATGAAAGATGTTGACTGATCGAACTTGAAGCAGACTGTAGCTGAGTTGATGGTAACATACACGGTAAAGGCTTAACATTAGAGATCTCACCGGAAAAGGCTGTCAATGTGTTACCATCAAGAAATAAATTGGGCACAATGGAATTATTTGCAATCTGTGATGGGCGATCAGAATGTTCCGGCATTCCCATAGAAACATTTGGTTGCAATAGCTGAACAGATGAACCATTTACTGAGGGGAAAACATCCTGACATGCACCATCAGAGAGTTTCAAGGCATTACCATTACTAATAGAGTTGGATGGAAAACCACCAACCAAGAGTTGCTGGCTTGAAGAGGCCTCATTATCATAGATGAAAGTTTTCAGCTCCTCTGCAGCTGCTAAGGTTTCTCTCACTTCAGGGGCAACTTCTCTGGAACTTTCGCATAGGGTTGAAGCAGCATTGACTGGTTGACTATCATGATCTGACACAGTTGACACAATAGCATTCTTAACAGAGTCTTCCTTTCTCTGTTCTACTTCCTGGCCAGTAGAAGAACCACTTACTTTCTGACAAAGTAGCACATCCTTAGTTCTCACTCTTTCACACTCGTCATCAGACACTTTCGCGGACATGCTTTTCTTGGCTTCATGACCCCTAGAAGTTTTTGAAGAAGAGACTTCTAGATCACGTTTATTCCTATGCCGCCTTGAACTAGCATTTTTGTCAGGTTCATGGTGTAAATAACGACAAGATGCTCCCCGGTAGCACTTTCCTCGAAGAAAATCAAAACATTTTCCCTTGCCTCTTTTCTTATTCTCACAACTGAACTCACCTGATCGTCTCAAGATTGGAGACCTGCTCCTGCTCCTGCTCATTCTATTCTGAGGGGACCAGCTAAAACCAAGAAAATTGAAAAAGAAAAAAAATGACATGAATTTGAATAAGTATTTTAAAGCATTACAGAAATCAAACAAAAAAGACAGCAGTTAACCCAAAACAAGAGGGAAATTTTAAGTAAAATTCATGAAATGAAGGAAAAGAACCCGGAAAAGAATAACTGTGCATCTACCACTAACTCTTTGTCTAAGGACAAGTATCAAACTGAGACAGTCATCAAGGCATTGTAAAATTAGAGACAAAAGCACATACCTGCGAGACCGGCTTCTCCTATCTTTTCTTCTCCAGGGACTCCTCTTCCTCCTCCTCCCACTCCTTTCTACAGGAGAACGGCTGCGACTCCAACTTCTGTCTCTTTTATTCCGCCTCCTAGTCCAATGATTTCGAGAATCATCAGAGTCACTGTCTGTAGGATCTTCCCTGGCAACTCTTCCAAATTCATCCACTTTTAAAGGATTCAATTCAAGCTTTGATGTCTTTTTATCACCTTGCTCAGCATTACCACTCTTGCTACTAGTGTTGATGCCGGCACTACTCAAGACATCTCTTCCCTTGGAAGGTTCAATAGATGCAGCAAAATTTACAGAAGCCTGGTTTTCAAGGTTATGTCCAGTACATACATCATTAGTCCCACTTGCAATGGCTGTGTGGGTAACATCATTCTCTTGCACTGGATGTAAAGACATTTTTGATTCATTCAAAGATGTATTGGAAAGCAGCTCACATCCCTTTTGAGTAGCAGAGAAAATTTTGGATCCAACATCTGTCTTCAAATAACTCCCAAGATCTTTATGGGCAACAGATGAGCTAGTGGCAGAAACGGTTGAGACTGTCAAAGTGCTAGCATCTGCAAGGCACGCTTCATCTTCATTACCTGCAGTGTCATCTGAAGCATAATCTTGAAGAAGTTTCATTGGACTACCACTTCTTAATAGTTGTCCAGAATCTCTATCACGATTAGCTATAGCAGGATCAGAAGCGCCATGTTCTGTAAGATCATCTGCCTGAGGAGCTGCACCTTTGCCTTCAGGAAATTTAACCACTTCTACAGAATCACCCATTGTGCAAAGAAACTCGGTAGCTGATTTTGCAGTGTTCATCTGCTCCGATTCAAATAAATGCTCCAGTACTGCATTATGAAAAGCCTTATCAATACAATACAGAAAAAGGCTGTGACTAAGACAACAAAAAGATAACACTAGGATGGCTCTGACATCGGATATCAGAACAGTATCTTAAAACTCAAAATACATAATGCTTTTAAATTTGGATTGGGCTAAAAAAGCAAGGAACTAAGAATTTGGAGGACATGGAACTGTAAAAAACAAAAAGATTCCATCTCCTGAAGAAACCACTCTGGAAAGACCCTAAGCAAAATATAATTGTAGCATTACTTCCAAAATAAACAGACAAAATTGTTGGTGTCAGTTTTCAAGCATACTCTCCCTAATTTCCATGAACATCAATGACCATCAATGATAGTCAGCATTTTATTGTTGCAACCAATTAAAACTTTGAAACTAATACTATAATAATTTTTCCCCGAGTTGTTTATGCATATGAATAGGGTCTCTGCAATAAAACCTTCATATGAGTTGCCGGTTCTTAAGGGTCCAGAGCAGGTGACATCACCGGGAGGGTTGTTTTCTACGGAATTCTGCAGCTGCTGTGTCTGGTTCTTACCATCAAATTCAATGACTTCATCATGCTGCTGGTTTAGAACTTCATCATGTTGCTGGTTCAGAACTTCAGCTGTATTGTTCAGGCCCTGGTCCTTGTCAGAAAGAGTGATATCATCTGGATCAACCCAAGGCAATATTATAAAAAATGATAATTTGATCCAAAACTAAGATATACTTCAGATAGTAATTTAATTGAAATAAAAAAGCAACCCAAATAAGCATATCCAATTTTCAAATGCTTATTCAGCACTCCCATCACTTCTTAGCAATACTCATGCCATACCAGAACCGAAGATTCCACAATTTAATTCCACAAAGAAATAGTCCAAAATCAATATCATTATTTCAGCGGTGGAAACATAAAATATTTCTATTGATAAGTCCAAGGATCAGGATCCAAGCAAGCAAACTAACCTTCCATCTCCATGTCAGAGTCTGCAGCTGAATTGCATTCAGCTACAACATTCAGATGATCATGGTGCCTTGAAGGCCTTGACAATGATTCACTTTTCTTGGCATGCCATCTATATTCCAGAATAAACTTCCTCTTCATCCATAGAAAATATTTGTGGGAAATATCTGCTTCAGTTCCTGAATCACCTCCAAACAGAAATGCATACTCAGGATTCTCACCTTCGTCATGGCGAGTCTTATCTTCAACAGCAGGACCATTCTGTACAATAAGCCGACATAAAGCTTCAATCTTTTCAACAACTGTATCTTCTGTTGGACGACAAGGAGGTGAAGGAAGATCTGAAATTGCATTTGTAGTTGATGACAGCCCATCTCTATCAGGAATAGCTGCCTCTTTACTACTTCCACTCTCCTTAGGAAAAGGAGCAGATCCCAACAGATCAGAAGCTACCACCTCATCAACAGAATCTATGGCTTTCAATTCAGAAATATGAAACTTACTAGACTTACGATCAGAATGCAGGTCATACGGCAAGTTAGAAACATCCCGGTTAGATGCAGAAGTCATAGGAGAGTTAGAAGGTGGCGGAGATGGCAGAATAGGGGGTGGACAAGATGGCAGTGGTGGGCGACTACAGGAAACTACTTGGTCGTTCCCAACAGATGAATGAAGATAAACTTCATCTGGAGTAGAAGCATGAAAACCAGAAGTAGAAGGGGCTGGTGGGGGTGGGGGAATATGCCGAAGGCTCTGTACATCACCTGGCGGTGGGGGGCATGGTGGAACAGAATGTCGATACATTGGCTGTGCATGTGAATGAGACGAGGGAGGCGGAGGAGGGGGTGGAGGTAAAATTCTAGATGATGGCCCCGGGGTCCAAGATGTTTCATGGCGAGGGTTGGAAAGAGGAGGTGGAACTGATGGGCGAATATGATGAGCGTGAACCCCCAAATTCGAAGAATGCTGTGAATTCTGGCCAAAACTAGAGAAAGTTTGAGGCATCAAGCTGTTCCCATGCAACAAAGGGCGAGGAGCAACGTAAGACTGACCATTATTTTGGACCAAACTAGATGAAACTTGCACAGAAGAATTAAGAGGAACTGTAGACGATGAAGCTGGAGGCCCATGCGTATAGATATGAGGAGCAGACAGCCCAACGTGAGGTGGGACGGCAGCAGGTAAATGTTGACCTGGGGGTGCTGGAGAACCTTGCTGGAAGTGAAAGGGGGGAGGCGGAGCTTGGTGGCGTTGTTGATAAGCTGGCTGCATGTGAGGACCGCGATTCACTTGATTATACATCTCACATGCAAAGGCTCAATTAACTAGCGTTGCAAAAACTCCTTTCTTAAAACCCAATCTTCAGTGTTTGGATACTCAATTCAAGACTCCAAAGGATCACCTGAAGGGGAAAAAAAAAAGGATAATTTTAAGAACAGCATAAAGCAGCAAAACGTCGAGGGAAAAACACCCATTAAAAAATTATGCACCATTGTGACAGGGTCATTCAGTCAACAGGATGAGAATACTCCAGAAATTCATGGAGAACATATGATTCCGGAATAACCATAGAAATCAAAAAATCACACGCGACTGACAATTGAAACAACTTCAAGACGCTGTTTTTATGTTAACTCAGATTTTTTTCCCCCTTTCATTTCTTTATAGTGGGTCTACCAAAAATTCGCTCCAGCTAATAACAAGTTCATTGCTCATGCAAGTCAGCAAATGCTCAATACTGCATCCTTTCTGTCTCTTTTCTCTTCATATAAGTTAGAAGATTATACAGATTCCACCCAACAAATTGAAATAAATTTCTTGGACCAATTTTCCCAGTACTTTCTCCTGCGCAACCCAGAATTGCACCACGTGAAGTGCTTCAACCGACAAAGAATAAAATTTGCAATTTTGGGAAAAAGCGTTTTGGCGCCAACTAATCTTTCGGTAAAGGGTAGTGACCAAATATTAAGAGCCCGGAGATTTGAAAGTTTCCATCAACAACCCAACGGTTCGCTTCTTCTTTCGCGTATGGATAGGACCTCAATAAACCGTCATCAACACTTAAATTTCCCCAATTGTCAGAGCTACCATACTGCAAATAAGTAGCATATAGCAAACTTTCCAAAGAAGCAAAACTAAGCAGAAGCAACCTTAACGTCGCGGGCAATCACAAACTTGCACGACTTACCGTATGGAAGTGCGAGAAAATTAGAGCTCTGATCTTTGATATTAGAAGGGGGTAAAGAAATCACTAATTGTCCTTTGAGGACTCTAGGGTTTTCTCATCAGAGTGAGAGTGAGGGCAAAAACAAAAAACTTCCCGCAGCAGAGACCCTAAGTAAGAACCTCCCTTCTGCGCAAGCACATTGGAAATCCGAGACCCAACGCTCTTATCAGCGTGAAAACCAAAAAGTTTCTGCGAACAGATTAATCTAGGAAAGGAAGTTAGAAGGGCCTTGAATCGGAATCGCTGTTGGGAACCTGGGGTGATCTGTATCCTGATTTTCAATTTTGTTTCTTCTTTATTTCCATTTTAACTTCTTTTCTTTTTCAAATGCCTATTTAATTTAATTTAATTTAATTTAATTGCACTAACAATTTTCAAAAATTCGGGGACTTTCTGTTTGGGGGTGGGGAGGCAATAGGGGCTTGTTAAAATCTATGCGATCTAGCATAGATAATCGTCCTACAGATTTTTTATAATTAAGTTGAGCTTGTTCGCCCCCATAATCTGTGTTCTACATTTTATTTTAGCCGGATTTAGCTAGTTTTAAAATTTGTTTCATTAAAAAGAAGATAATACAAAATTTTTCAAAAAAATATAAAACACTGTCATCATCGATAAATAAATCAATTAATATAATTAAAACAATTTTTAATGTTATTTTGATTGTTGAAAATTATTTTGAAGGTAAACCCCTCTCCCAAGGCAATAACTAGTTATGAAATTTGAAAAATTAAATATATGATTTCATATATTAGAAAAAAATTGATAAAATATCAAAGCAAGAGTAAGTTACCAAAATTATTTGCAATAAGAAGATACCTAAGAAACTTTAAAAAAAATTTCATCTGAGTGCTATAAGATTAATTATATTGTACAGTAGTAAATACTAGGCGATAAACAAAAAACAAGAACATAAAATTAGGATAGCAGAAATAAGAATGTTAAAATAAATGTGTGGTTATACATTAAAAAAAAAAGACTCAAAATGAAAATATTAGAACAAGAGAAGGCATTATGCCTATTCAAAAAAAAAAAATAGTTAAACATTGTTTGAAGTGGTTAGAACATATACAAAGGAGGCCATTAAAGGCATGAGTCATCAGTAAGAAGGGTAAATCATACAATTTGAAATCCCATAAATAAAAAAGGCAGAAGAAGACGAGGGAGAACCTTTAATAAGATCATTAAACAAGATCTCCTTATCAACAATATATCTAAAAACTTGATTGTTAATGTGCAATCCATATAGCCGACCCCACCTAATAGGATAAGATTTGTTATTAGAAAAAACTTGATAAAAAAATTTGAAAAAAAAATATTATTAAGAATTATAGACATGATTTCATGTAAATTTTATAATATTGTTGTTGAATATTTTCATTATTCATAGCCAAAATTTGCAAAATGCTAGTCCAATTTGCTATTTTTGGATACTTGCGGTATTTCCAAAGAAAATTATAGATTTAAAGGCTCACATTGTCTCCGTTACATTGGTTTGATTATATCTCAATTAAATTTATTCTCCTGTAACCCCAAAATATTGCCCGACTTAATTAAGCATCCCATGATTATCTTTATCAATATGACGACTATGTATCATAGTCATATTTTCCATTCTTGTCAACCAAACCATTGTTGGTATCCCTCTCTCACACATTGGGCAAACAAAGATAGAAGAGAGCCGCAGCCAGAGGGGAGTAAGAACAAAGAGAATCTTCCAATTTAAACCAAGAGTCCAGACGGTAGTGCAGATCTGTATCCTACCATTCTAGTTTGCTACCAAAAAGAACAAGATAGCTACTGTAGTAAACTTCCAAAAAAAAAAATCTATTTCATTTCTTTTCCTTTTCCTTTTTTTTCCCCCCCTTTTCCCCCATCTTGTAGGGGCTACCATGTTCCATCAGTTAGCAGGTTATCACAAGTTATATGCATCTATGATCACCTTGAGACGAGGAATGTACAAACAGCAAGCATGCTAAGTCTATGCCATTATCGTCAGCAATTATCTCTCGACTCCTGATTTCAAAAGAATTTTGCCAGCTCACTGCATTCTTCTGCCATTGGAGGAGCTGAACTCGAGTAATCTGTCATTTCAACAGTCAGTTAATCAGAATGAAATTCTAACGTTACCAAGAGTCCAATCTGAATAACAGCAAATAATAAACTCCAAGCTCAGAAAACCGGTGTACTTGAAATGTTCATACAATTAAAAAGGGAAACCCTTCCTAAAACAACCATTCAGCTTTGAATCATTTTCCACTAAAGGGTACAATATATATAGCTGAAATCATAATCAATCTCATCTCTGATTCTTCTATTCTTTCCGCTAATGGATAAAACTGAACAAGATTTAGGTTTGATCAGATATACCAGATGCTATCTGACTCCAAATGCAAAATCATGTCCTCTTTTTTTTTTTCGGTGGGGGAGGGGACCATGGCTGATCCAGTCAGACTTTTTTTTGGATAGATTTATTTTTTTCCTATAAAAAAAAATGGTCATTATCACTAGAACAGTTTCATCCTATTCATCCGTCTAACAATCTTACCTAGCAAGATTTTCACAAGAGAAACGAAAAATGGCTTCTTCTGTGAGAATTCTTCAGCAAGGCAAAGAATATCTGCCAACTGTCTTTTGTTTTCATACCTTGATTCGAATGAGATGCAGCACCCTCAGCCACAGCTGGCCTGGGAACTTCTGCATTGAAGCTCGGTGCAGCAGTTGTTTGATGTCTTGGAACTTCATAATTCAAACTTAGTAAACGATTCGCTTGATCATCAGTTGGAAAGCCAGTTCCAGAACAGGGCGCATCATTCAAATTTTGCCCCAGTGAATTTGGTGTCTCATTTTTCTTATTATCATCTTGATTCAAACAAACAGCTCCTGTTTCTGGGTTGGCAGAAACTACCTGCAGTATAGTCCAAAGATAAATAAAGGGACCTTCACGAAAGAGCAGACTACTAGGGATTTGTATCGCACTTGGCCATTTCAGGACATCAGTAACCAACTAGGACTCACTAGATCATATTTGCGCATCACACTCTGAGATCAGATTCATTATAGCTATATAGAATGTAAACCATTCGTGTATCATAACTAGAACCAAGCAAACAACCCTTTATTTGGAAACCCCAACAATGTCAACCTATCGAAATCATAAAAAGAAACATTTGACACGATTTAATTCTGACCAGACAGAAAGAACTTCTACAATGGAAAACATATCTCATAAGCATTGAATGAATTAGATCATAATCAACCACGTTGCATGGGAGGAACACTTGAGGCAAGTTCAACAAGATAGATTTGTGCTATAAGCTATTAGTAGGAAGTAGAGCATCATTCACAAGGAGAATATGTATAAAAACGCTTTAAAAAGTGAAAACAGCAGTCTCAGGCACTAAATATTCTAACTGGCAGTAGTTCTTTCAAAATTCCAGCAATGTAAGAAGCAACAATTTGTGCACGCATGTACACACACATATAGAAAGGATACCAACTTCCATTCAATCAATGACAAATATAATATTTGAAAAACACCAACCAAGCCTGCTTCAAGGACTCTATCCAATGCAAGTATGAATTTAAAAAAAAAGGAAAAAGAAAAGAGAAGAAAACTTAACCTTATGCGGCTCAGAAGCATCAGCAGTTGTGGGAATACTTGATATGAGAGGAGCAACAGCTTCCGAGAGGTTTCCATGACCAACATCTGTCCTTTCATCCGGCTTGAGCACTTTAGAAACCTTTAATTTGTTCGGTCGTGTACCACTTGTGACAGCACTACCAGGTTCATAAGACATCCTTTTCCTGTTTTGAGAATTATAAATCATTTTTTTCTACTGAAGAGCATCAATAATTAATAACAAATTGTCCGCTGAAACATGAAATAAAACAACATCAACAACAACAACAGCTTACCTACTGCTGGAAGCATGGATAGATGGCTGCAGAGAAATTGGTTTGTTTGAAAAGAGAAATCCACGAAGAGGCTTTCCATCAATAACAGTTTCGATAGTGTATCCTTCTGGGATGCTATCAGTAAGCTTGGCTTGAAACGTTTTCTTTCCAAGAGGGAGGGATTGATTTGCTTGGATATTTTGTCTGCCTGTAAACAATATACTGGATTTTCAGCTGTCAACTAGAGGTACTTTGAATATGAATAAAATGCCTTAAACAACCCTTTCCATGAACGTAAGTTATCCATTTTCGTCAACTACAACACGTATATTAGCTGGAATCACGCTGACACTAACTTGACTAAATGAATACTGTGACAGATTAGAATAAGAACAATGATTTAGTGCCTTCAATTTCACTAGCCAAGTCACCCCAATCTTTATATGACCATGACCAACATAGCAAAAGGAGGACATATAAGTATGCTATCAGCTCAACTTCCTGAATCCTGTATGCCGATAGCATTATGTAGAAGTATGGCCCATTAGGAAAAATTTTAGATAATACCATCGGAATTTCCACACATGACACAAATTCTCACTTGGCTGATTAAAATTCAACACTGCAAGGGGCTGGCTAACGTCAGAAACTCCATATCGAACAACACCTTGGTTTTGGATAGCATTGAGGTTCTGCTCTTGGCATTTCAATTTCAATTGCTTCCTTAAAGATAACTTCTCTGGTCTCTGTTCAATCTCCTTAGCAAGCCCTAAAAGTCAGAGAAAATAGAATTATTAAAAGCAACAATTTGTCCCATACTTGATGTCAATATTGTTTTCTTGTGTTTCCTGAAACTCTTCCTATGATGGTAAACAATAATATTAATTGGCATCATTGAAGGAATAAATTACTTATGATTTCATGACCAATAAAATTATCATAAATTATGAAAAGCACTTTCATGAGCATTTAGGTGAAATTATTATTGTGAGTATTTTAAGCACATAATAATTAACAAATTCACAATTCGAAAATATGCTTTCCAATTTATGATGGTAAGATTTCACCATTAAAGCCTGATATAATTCAAAACATCACTTGTTTTTTAAGTAGAATTAATATCCCTTCCGACTTTGACCATACTTAAGTTATATTAATCATTACAGTAAGTGGATGACTAATAAAGAAGTGCTTAATTTGGTACCGTCAAAATGAAACCTGATTTGGTTAGCTAGGTTATGTGTGTTTGCTACAGAAAAAGGTATCAAAACCAGTTCAAATGCCAGGGACATCATAAAAGCAGCCTAGTCGTCAATAGTTTACAGAAATAACAATATCCAAATATTACTAAGTAAATTAAGTAATATGTATAAAAGAAACTTAGCTGAACCTGTGTTTAGGAAATACATATCATCGAGGGCCTCAAGATTTTTATTACAACCACCAATGAATACAAGAACACCACCTATGATTGGGTCCAAACAGTCACCAGATACAGAAAATCTAGCACAAGGACTATCGCCTAGAGTTGCCACCTTGGTCCAAAGACCAGTATCTGCACCAAATCAGAGTTGAAGCATGATGTGAAGGTTAAATAAATAACACTAAAAATATCTAGCTAAAATTTCAGATCTAAAAAGATGACATAAAAGGTTAACTGCATAACCCAATTAATGGGAATCAAGAAGTGACAGGTAATTGAAATGACTACCAATATCAGATTTCAAGAAAATTAAGTGGCCTGTACAAAAGGTTCAAATCAAATGACAGATAGATCAAATATCTTTCTAAGAAGGTTTAAAATTCTGCACCTAACAAATACGTGGGAAATAATATTGTTAAACACTGACATATCCAGCTTTCCTCCATGGAGTCAAAACTATCTACCACCAAGTGTTATGAAAATGATGGAGCTGTTACACTAATAGTCTGAAGTTTCTGTAAACAGAGGTTTTCATAGTAAGGTTCTTCATTTGTTTAAACAGCATAGCAAGAACAGAAATCCAAACATGAAAGTATTAGGAGAGCTACAGTAAACATACCAACATCAAGCATATAAAGATCATTATATAGACTTTGTGAATCTGTAAATCCCCCAAAAACAAACAAGTTCTTCCCAAAAGAAACTGTAGAATGACCAGCCCGAGGTGGTAACAACTGGCCTGACGTATTCAGCTCCCTCCAAATGAGAGTATCTAAGGATAACAAAAATTCCAAAACAAATCATAAATATGCATATAATAACAAATTAAAATATATTTCTATCACCAAAATATATATCTTTCTATGCATTACAGATAACATACCAGTATCAAGGATATGAACATCAGACAAGTAATAGTCATGTCGATCTTCGCCACCAATCACAATAATTTTGTTTTTCCAAGATGAGCAGGTATGGCTATCACGAGGAGATGGTGGAGTGCCTGATGTTGCAGCACACTTCCAAACAAATGTCTCTAAAAGTGAGAGTACAAATGAATTATCAGCATCTTTCCAACCAACCATTTAATTCAAGCTACAGTATAGAAAATTCCTACAAGCACTATGAAGGTTGAGGGGAAGGGATGTGGGGACTAAAATGTTTGGTATCTCAAGCTTTAAGAACTCCGACTAAACCCCAGCTTTTCACTGAGCACACAACCACATACTCAAGATTCCTCTCGTTTTGATTCCTGATTAAAATGATAATGGAGTTACAATTAGTCCCGCATCTCCCCAACAAAAGCTCATAGCCTCTTAAACAAGCTAGACAGTAAATTCCAAGTTCAAGAAAATGTCCCCAAAAAAAAATCATTAAGGATTTCTTTTAGAATATGTATATATGATAGCTGATTTCAACATACTTTTACCGCCTATTTGCAAGTTAACATACCATACTATGGGTATAAATTATATAGTGAACTAGCCTAATCGATAGCTGGCAAATATTTCATGAAAAGTCACCTGTATTCAATATGTACATATCATTATAGTAGACCTCATTGTTTTCTGTAGATTTTCCACAACCGCCAAATATGAAAAGCCGTTTACCAACGAGAGCAGAACTATGACCCTCGCGTGCCTCTGGTCCTTCTCCTCTTATAGTTGGAGAAATCCATGTATGTGATGCTACAAATGATTAAACATCAGTAATCAGCAAGTACATTATGGTGAATTGAAAAGATTCAGCAAAGAGATTACAGGCAAACATAAAGTATTCAACCAAAGCCAGAAAAGCATTAATTTTTTGTTTTTCAAGCTATAATTAATATATGAATTAGACCAACAAACTGATATAGTGAAATAGCAGAATGACGACTCACAAGTGTCTAGTATGTGCAAGTCTCTAAGCGGGTTCGTCCCATCTGTACCCCCAAACACAAACAGATTATCACCAACAGTTGTACAGCTATGGCTGTCCCTAGGAGTTGGTGGGGTGCCTTTGATCACAGGTTGGCTCCAAGTCTGCATGACTGCAAATCAGCGACAAGGAATAACATGAACAATGTTCACATTGAGTTGCCAGAGTGACAGAATAAGCCCGTGAATAAATAAACAAATACATCAAAGCCATTCACATACGAACTAAATAATTGCTATATGAAACCAACCACTAAATGTATCCAACAGTTTTTCTCGCATTTCTAAAACCAACAGAATAAAGAAACAAATGTCGTCCTTAAAAGAGAGAAAAAGGCAACATCAAGCTTGCAAGAAACCAAAAAAGGAAAGAAAGAAACTATCTTTTCTCACAGGATACCGAGTATGTCGCTGGAAGACATGGGAATGAATCCACTAACAAAAAAATGCCGAAAAGAAAGACGAATAGATCCTCTCAAGAGCAAGAAAACTTTGATTCGAAAGCATGACAGCACGCATGCAAGAATTGTTTGAGATGGGGGGACGAAAACAAAGAGCGAGAGTGGCAAAAAAACCTTCAGCACCTGGATTTATTTCACATTTCATCTCAGAACACCGAGCAAACAACAATGCGAAATCAATGCGCCAGCAATGTCTTATTCCAGACAAGATAGCGTGAAAATAGATAAGACGCAGGAGATTGCAGTGTAGACGCACCAGTGTCAAAGACGTGCACTAGGTTCGTCTGACAGTTATCTCTGCCGTAGCCCCCGAAGACATAGAGAAGTCTCCCTCCTTTGATGGCGTTACAGGTGTGACCCCACCTCCTCCCTGGCCCAGAAAACTCATCAGCTCCTCCTCCTTGACCCTGTGTGGGTTTTCCCTGGACCTTTTCCCACCTCATTTTCAAGATTCAATTACAACGAAGCAATTGCTGAGGAAAACCCACAGGAAAAATATAGAAAGTGAAGATTAGGGCGCCGAAAGTAAGATTATCGACCACGGGACTGCTGGAATGCGTATTTTTTCAAAAAAAATTCATTCATGCAACAGAAAATAAGGGGAACAGGAAAAAAAAAATCCTTGAGGGCCTGTTTGGTTTGAGGGGAGGGAGGGAGGGAGGGGAGGGAGGGGAGGTTTTATCCTCACCTTGTTTGGTTTGATTAAAAAAGAGGGGAGGGGAGGGTATTTAATGATCCATTGTTTGGTTCAAGGAGAGGAGGGGAGGGATAGTAATAATCAATTTACCATTTTACCCTTACATATTAGTTTATGTTTTTTATTGATATATTATATAAATTAATTTACATCTTAATTTAAATTATATAATTTAATAAAAATTCAGTCTTATCATGTTAATATGTGTGTTAAAAAATTGGTATAGTAATTTTTTATTCTAATTAATATAATAATATATTTAAAATAATTAAATTAACAAATTTTATATGCTCTAAGAAAAATGAAATTTTATTTTCTTTAGGCTATCTTTTTTTCCAGCTTTAAAATATATTTATAAAAAACAATTAATTTTATATATTATAATTTTTTATTTAAATAATTTTTTATTTATAAATAATTTTTATAATATATTTTTAATTATAATAATGTATATATTTTTTATTTTTTACTTAGGATAATATATTTTTTATTTGAAATAATTATTATAATAATATATTTTATGGGTAGAAGTGGAATATTAAAAAAACCATAAGGGCATAATAGTCCAAAATTTTGACTCCCCTCCAAAAACCCCCAATTTGGAGGGGAGCCAAAATGGGAGAGAGGAGGGGAGGGGACATTTGAGCTCCCCTCCCCTCCAAAATTTTTAACCAAATGAGGGGAGGGGCTCATTTTCCCTCCCCTCCCCTCCAACCAAACACACCCGAAACTCATACCAAGGATAATTCTGATTAAAAAGCTTACATTAAATTTTGCAGAACAAAAAATTATAATTACTAAATTTTATAGGAAGTAATAAAACTTCTCAAACGGAAGTGTCATTACTCATTGGGTATCACGACATGAGTAAAAATGGTAAACCGATAAAGTGATAAAAACCAAAGCCAGTTAAAAAGGATTCAACCTGAGAGCAAGAGGGTTAGTCTGAATCCGAGGAAAAATGGAGAGAAGACTAATCCGAAATGCAAATTAATTATGAAGTGCTTGGAAGAAAATCAACCCATGTTTTTAAAAGTGATTATGTGGGGGGAAAAAAATTTGTCTTAACTTATATGAAAATACACACTTTTTAAAGTTTTTTTTTTAATTACAAAACACCTCCTACATCATACATGGAGAACTTTGATTGGTTGGCCCATTGATAGGTTAGTATAATTGTGGAGTTTGAATTAACTTTTTGAAAATAATATTGCAAATTTTGAGGTGAGTTCATGAGAAAAGTTTTGTGTTAATTTGTATGAAAATATTTTTTGAAATGTTTTTGACACCCACTTATTTGTTTGAACTCAACTTAGCAATGGTGATTTTTACCCTTGCTGGTTTTTGTAAAATTAATATTGAAATAAAATTTAATTAATATAATGTGATTTGTTTAAATAATACTATCTCATGTCCTTAATATAAGACCTCGTTTGATTTTTATTTTGGTCCTAAATATAAGACCCCAATTCACTTTGTCTCTCATATTTATATATTTTTCAAAATAGTTCTTCTAATAATAGTAGTTCTAGCCAATACACTTGATTAGCAGGAATATTTTAAGAAAGACAATACATATTTATTACAAATAACTAATTTAACTTATCTTTTAATCTCCTCAAATTAGTCAACTAATTCTTATAATTAGGATCAGAGGCAATATATTAAATGAAATAAAATGAGTATTCATGTTAAGCAGTAAGTTGAGGCGAATCCAGCAACCAACCGCATTAAACATGTCTGTTTTGACCCAGACATCTCTAGTCTCAATGTCGAACAATCTATTAATACTCTTCCGGTCCTTAATATAAGATCCAATTAGTGAATTGGTTTCGGTCCTAAATATAAGACCCATTTCTCATATTTATCAATTTTCTCTAAATTACCCCTATGGATACTCCCTCAACTATAATCAAGTAGAAGAGGAAGATGGGGTATTAAGAAAGATGATTATAGTATTTTAGAAAAAACATGTCACATTTCTTATAATTAACTAGTTTATCTAACTTCCTTAATCTAATCAAATTAGTTAAATGGGTTTTATATTAAAGACCGGAGGAATAACATTATTCAGATTTAGATGTATAGTTTTAGGAGAAAATGACCAAAAAATAACTGTTAAAATTTGAAATAACAAAATGGGCATGCGAATATATGAAATGACCAAATGGGTATGAGGTATCAATCTAGAATTTTAATAATTCAGTAGAAAGACTAAAATGCCCTTGACACGTATTTGGAGCCAATTTCACTATTCCGGTAATAATAATGACAATATTTATAATGTGAATTACAATTTTCGTAATGAGAGTTACCATCTCATTATTGTCATTTGCAACTCGTTTTATTCAAACCCAAATAACATATATTTGGAACTAATTTCACTACCCCGGTAATGATAATGACAATATTTATAATGTAAATCACAATTTTTTTAATGAGAGTTACCATCTCGCTATTGCCATTTGCAACTCGTTTATTTCAAACCCAAGTAATATGTATTTGGAGCCAATTTCACTATCTTGATGATGATAATAACAACATTTATAATATGAATTATAACTTTCGTAATGAGAGTTAACATTTCGCTATTGCCATTTACAACTCGTTTCTTTCAAACCCAAGTAACATGTATTTGGAGCCAATTTTACTACCCCTGGTAATGATAATGACAATATTTATAATGTGAATTACAACTTTCGTTTTGAGAGTTACCACCTGTTCATGTCTTCAGAGAGGTTCAAGAGTATTTTAGTCTTTCTACCGAATTGGCAGAATTCCAAATTAATACCTCATGCCCATTTGGTCATTTCATATATTCACATACCCATCTTGTCATTTCAAATTTCAACAGTTATTGTTTTGGTCATTTTTCTTAGTCTTAGTGTGCCTATTATTCTGAAACTGCATTTGATTAGTTTAAAGTTTGATGCCAATTATATGAACTACTAACTAAATTATGACGTTTTTATGCTTTGTTGGTTCATCTTAGAATATATTTCAAACATTATGATGTCTATTTAAGAGTAAAAGTGACATCAATAAATTAATGCGTATATTGTTTTTTGGTCAGATATAATTAATGCGTATATACTATAACTTAAGATTTTTTAAAAAAAGACTCCTTTATTTTTGTCATAACTCTCACGCACAATCCTCAATTTTTACTTAATTTTTTGTGCGTTCTTTGATTCATTTCTAAATATTACAACCATTTCAAAGCTAGTGGTTATAATTTTGGGCGTTTTGCTTGCTCCAATTGAAACACTGCTTCTTGTTAATTTGAAAAATATTCAGAAGAACTATGAGCTGCTATAGATATTATTCCTCATCTTTTTAATATAGGACCTAATTAGAATGTTGATTTTAGTTCTAAATATATGACATATTTCTTATATTTACCAATTTTTTTAAATTACCCGTATTAAATAATTAAATACCATAATAATACTTATTACTCATTAATAATACACCTGCATATTTTATAAAATGAGTGAGTTATTATTACTCATTAATTACATAGATACACTAATTCTACCGTTTTATATTTTTTACAAATTATGTTGGAGGTGAGTTAACCATAGTCCAAAATTTTTTAAAATGTCAATTTTTTAAAGAAGTTTTAACCGAGGGTATTTGGAAAATATGTCATATTTATGATTATTACCTAATTTAACTAACTTTTTTAATTTAATCAAAGTAGTTAAATAGCTCTCGTATCAAGGACATAAAAGGGTATTGACTTTTTTTGGTAGTAGAATAGTACTTGTATTAACTGTCTTGAGGCAGATTGATTAGGAAAAACATGTTAATATGGGGAAAAAATGCGCGCTTCATGCAAAACCTTTGGAAATGCAAGTACTTTTTTTTTTTGTGACTAAATTTTAAGAAAAGGGTGGAGTTCACTTATGATCTAAGAGTAGAAAAATTAGCCATTGGCTCTAGTCCTCTCCAACACCGTAGTTTAAACTGGGACGAGGAAAGCTCTAGGTGAGGAATCATCACATGTTATGAGTTTCAAATATGTCTATGCTTCCTCCAACACCTCAACTAATTTCAAGATTGAACCCCTCCATATTGTGAGAAAGTCTGACCCTTTCATCACTTGGACGCGGGGTTGCAAGTACTTTGATTGTGCCGTTGTATTATAGTAGTAATTTTTTAAAAAATTGATTATCATTTCTGCCGGTATGGTCTTTTTTATTACTCCTCCAATCTTAAATATAAGACATTTATACATACTAGTATAAGGATAGTATGACATTTTTATATTGAGTACAGGAGGAGTATTATTTTTAAACTAAAAGGACTAATATTTCATGAGGCAAATAAAAAAAATATTAAAAACTACAAAAATGATGTTCAGGAATTAAAAACTAAAGTGTAACTTATAAATCTCTTAAAAAATAACAAATCAAGATAACCACTGGGTAAAAGGTATTTTTAATCCATAAATTTTGACCTCATTTTAAATTTAGTTTCTGAAATTTAAGACTTCGATTTTATTTTTATTCAGTTGAGAGTAAATTCGCTCACAACCCTCAAAGAGACGGCATCTGGGATGCGGGAGAGAAGAAAAGGAAGCACTTTCTATGTGAGCCAAGCCGTACATGGAAACGGCAATGGTGGCAAGCTTCGCAGCCAGAAGAAGCCTCTGGTGTATCCTCCTAAATCGCGCCCACTACTTTTCAACGGTCTCCAGTTCTATTGACCCCTTTGATACAAAATTATCCCAGCAATCTCAGTACAGGAAAGAGATTTCACTTGCCAACCTCTTCCAAAGGTATGGGTTCCCACCATCACAAATTCAAGGATTTCTCGCAAAGAATCGTTTCCTCTTGAATTCCAATTTACAAGAGTTAGAAAAGTGTCTTTCTACTCTATTATCATTCAGGATTCCGCAAAACTCCTTCATTTCTTTGGTACGCGATTGTCCTGGGATATTGGAACACCAGTTTCTCAAGAAATGGGAAGCATGTTTCTCACAACTGCGCGTTTTGACCCCTTCCCCACTTATGATCAGAAATTTCTTGCAATACTTTAGGAGGTATCACCTAGACCCTGGTGAACTTTCAAAAAGCATTGAGATCTTGAGGGGTTTAGGCTTCACGCATGGTGCTATAGCTCGGGTTTTCGAGGACTTCCCTACTGTGGTCGTGATGCCTGAGGGAGAAATTCTTTCTATAATTGAATTTCTCACGGAAATTGGGATTCCCAGGGACAAGGTTGATCGAGTCATAAGTTTGCATCCTAGAGTTTTGGGACTTGGGATCAAAGACCGGTTGAAACCGTTGCTCTGTGAGTTGAGCGATTTGGGATTTTCTGATGATGAGATTATAAAGGAGATAATTAGGGAGCCCAAGATTCTGGGAATGGAACTAGGGGAATTTTCACGGTGTTTAAAATTGCTCAAGACTTTAGAATGTAGAGAACCTATCAAAGAGAAGATTTTCAGAGAGGGTATACTGAGAGCCGGTTTTGAAGTAAAATTGAGAGTGGATTGCTTGTGTAGTCATGGTTTAATCCGCAGAGATGCTTTCAAGGTCTTGTGGAAAGAACCGAGGTTGATTACTTATGACTTGGAGAACATTGAAAAGAAGATTGACTTTTTAGTACACAGGATGGAATATAGTGTGGATTGTTTACCTGACGTTCCAGAATATTTGGGTGTGAATTTCGAAAAGCAGATTGTGCCTCGACACAATGTGATGGAGTATTTGAAAGCAAAAGGTGCAATTGACTTTGAGGTGAGATTGAAGGACTTGATTAAGCCAAGTAGACTTAGATTTTACAATCTATATGTCAAACCCTACCCAGAATGTGAAAAATTGTATGGGAGATTTTCAGGAAATGTTGAAGTTAAAAGCAAGCATCCAACGGGACTCTGGAAAATCTTTAAACCAAAAAAGTTCCCTGAAACCAACGAAGATGTGAAGAACATGAAGTCCTTTATGGAGGGAGTGGTGTAGTGGATGACACTGTTGATATTGATCCCTCTTTCCTCATGTAGTTGATTGCTTGCTTTTCCTTGGGAAGACTTGTTTGTTCCTGAAGCTGCCGCTTCTTGTACTGTTCAAAGTTGATCGACTTGCTAGATCCATCATGTCCTGTATTGGTTGAGAGCGTTGTTGTGATCCCTGCCTCCATTTCGCCTGCCGAAAAAAGGCCGCGCTTTGAACATCTGCTCATGCAAGGAACTTAAACGGTATGTTGAGGCGATTGAGATGCCAGCAAAAAGACATCATAAAAGAGTAAGCTGAAGAAGCTACAGATGACACTCAGGTGGGTCTGAAAGAATCCTTGCACCTTGCTGCTTGCGTACTCTGCCTCCTCTTTATTCCGAAGAGCTGGACGATAAAACCGTGCCTGTCAATTACCCCCTCCCATTTGTACGTTTACATCTCTGACTTTTTTCTGTCCTTGTTTGCAGGAAACTTAATCCGACGTTCATATTTCGGTGACGTTCATTTTTTCTTGGCGGATCATGTTGGGAACGCGTGGAGATATATAGTGGATAAGAACAGTAACAGCAGGAGAGAGCTCCACGAATTGTTCTTTGGATGCAACTGAAATTCTTTGATTAGATCCTCATTATCTATATATAGAATTAAATGTTTACATGTCATTTGGAAATGTAATTTATTTTTTAAACTCCCTTTAACATTCAGAAAATTATTTAGTTGCATGAAGCTAGTTAAGACCGAAGAAATCCCTAAGCAGCGCTGGGTTGTGCGTGCCGCCTGGGTACATGTGCGTGCGTATGTGTGTGTATATACGTATGTATATGAAGAATTCAATTCAAGGGCCAAATTTGTACTCCGGTTTAAAATATGAGTTAAATTTTATTTAAACTTTATTTATTATGTTTATCAAGAAACTAAATAAAATCAATTTAAAACAATAAATGTGCAAGGTATATATTTGTTTTTCTTAAAATAATTTTATTAATGAAGAGAATCAATAAAAAATGTAATAAATGAATTAACGATAAGAGAGAATACATGATAGTAAAATTAAAAAAATATCATTAAATATTTGGATAAAATTGAATATTATCTTATTAAAAAAAAACCAACCTTTTAAAGAAAATTTAGCTTATATTTTAAACCGGAGGGAGTACTATTTAAAGTCTTCTTAACATAAAAATATTTAATTATAACATACGACACCAACTCTTTAAAATATTTATATATATCATTATATTATATACTAATTTATCAATATATCAAATTAGTTTGAAAAAAAAGATAAATACGTTAAAATAATTTAATAATTTTTTTATAAAAAAATTAGTCAACAAATTAGTCAACTGGGAGAAGGTAGTTCTTTCCAGTAATGCCTAATAGAGGAAGGCGAAGTAAAATTTTGATCCATCATGGATGGCGTATTCTTCAATTTTCAGTCTCTTTGTACGGCACAGCTGGCCCTCAGCCGATGTTCCATTCAGAGTCAGAATAAGAACCCTAGCAAACAGGACTTTATTTTCTTGATAACATGGAGAGCACATAACGCTTCTGAAAAAGAAAAAAAGTGGTCTTAAAGTTCAATTTGGTGTTAGAATTAATATTCTATTAACTAATAACAGAGTAGTTGGGCATTAAAGTTCCGGCACAAATCATTCTGGAAGAGTTATCGTGTGCCGACTGCCTTGGCGGATTGGATAATATATCAGGATTCGAGAGGCCATCGCAATGAATCATACACAGTCAGCTAAGTGACTAGATTTCAGTTTTTGCTGTTTGTAGTTGTCTTCTGACTAAGGAAGTATAAACACCATTCTTGTTGAGAAGTTCATCGTGGGTGCCACTTTCAACTATTTGACCATCCGAAATAACTGCTACAATACTTGCACTTTTAACAGTAGACAGCCTATGAGCAATAACCAGAACTGTCCTTCCCTTCATCAGAGAATCCATGGCATCCTACAAGGTAGACATCAACATCGTAATTTGTTAACTTCTTGGCTGCAACAAAGGAAAGACAAACAGAATAAAGTCTACATGCTTCATCAGGCTGTGATTTTACCTGTACTAGGTATTCGCTTTCAGCATCCAAGGCACTAGTGGCTTCATCCAGGAGAAGAATTTTTGGGTCCATAAGCAGTGCTCTAGCAATAGCTACTCTTTGCTTTTGTCCTCCCGAAAGCCGAACCCCACGTTCTCCAACATGTGTTTGGTATTTATCTGGGAACTTCGATATAAATTCATGTGCATTGGCCATTTTCTGCATATAAATCCATATTCAATGAGGGAACAAGGTTTCAGAGAATAGGGTATATTTGATAAAAGATGATATTGAATCTTACAGCCGCATTTTCTATGTCAACAAGATTAACTTTGCCATCAAGTCCATAGGCTATGTTCTCCCCTATAGAACAGTTGAAAAGGATAGGTTCCTGACTCACTATACTGATCTGCAAATCAAAAGGCAATCTCCATTATTTTTAAGCTCATCATCATCACATAGATATTAGAGATTGGATGATTTTTAGTGTGAGCTTCTTAAATCTAATGTATTGTGCCTTCTGAAACATTTATGAAATTTACAAAAGCATGGTACTGCGTCAATAATTTAAGTTGGTAAAGGTTTGTCCACAGCACATAAATATGTTATATTCAAGACTATATGGTCTGAAATGCAATGATCTGCCAAGTTCATATGAATGTGTACTGACCATAAGGAAGATGTAGACGTGTCTCCCATGAGGGAACAACACATTGCCTACTTACCAATCGTTGGTCCCTGTTCGGGAGTAATTAAAATAAACACATTTTCTAATAATTAACTCTCAGCTCAAGCAACCAAATAACAATAGTAAGATACCTTTTTGTGTAGATGCTCATGTGATATTTCTACCAGAGGAACCCCATTCAGCAGGATCTTTCCCTTGGTTGGGTCATAAAATCTTTCAATCAAGTTAGCTATAGTAGTCTGCAGTAAACAAGAAATAAATCCATGCGCTTAATTTTTCCTCTGTCAACTTCATAGAATACTCCTTTTCTACGCTTCAATCCACAGCATTTCAGTGAACATGGTTGTTGGTCCATATAAAACATGTTACTCGACCTTGTGGAGTCACGTGCTGTGAATTAAAACACACACAAGGAGGGAGGGGGAGGAAAGAGAAGAGCTGAAGAAATGGTAAGAACTATACCTTTCCACCACCGCTAGGACCAACTAGAGCAACCTTTGAGCCAGGCTGCAGTTTCAATGTGATTCCCTACAGATGGCATAATGCGGTAAAATTTGTTATTTACTTTACCATTCAATTTGGATGATATATATGACCCCAGAACACAAAACTACAGAAGCAGGTACCTTGAGTATTGTATGACTTGGACGTGATGGATAGGCAAACCAAACATCATCTAGTTCCACTTCACCATCTTGGCCACTACAGTAATAGACAATTTAGTCTTATTTCTCAGTGCTCAATTAAGTATTTTTGAAGAAGCCTTTCCTCTTATACATCACAAATCCAACCTAAAGTGAAGAATTTTCAATATATGAGCATGATTTTTTGTTTTTTTGAATACATAGGAAGGTAAAGCCTTAGTAAGGGAAAGGAAAAAAGAACATGATTCTGAAGTTCACATAGATAAACATGGAGAGAACAAAAGAGACGTTCCTGAGTCCTGTATTGTCACCCAACATTGTGCCATGGCTGTCTGTTTATTTAATAAAGTTCCATTTAGCAAAACACGGTCAATGGAGATGTTAAAAATTGCAAATCTGCTCACACAAAGAGCTATAGAATACTTTTGAAATGGCATAGCCAGTTTTGGATGCGGTGATAGGTTAAGAGGAAAGTGTGACTATATCATCGTCAATCCCAACTAAAATTTTAGTACAAGAATCCAAAAGGAAAGCCCCTTGGTTTTGGCATTCTAAAACCAGGCGTGTTTGAGGAGAGCAAAAAAGGTTGAGGGGAGGGGGAAAATCTGTGGAAAAGACAAAATTCAGTAGATCGAGGAAACTAACCCCAAAGGACACTTGTTTCCTGACTTAGGCATGGAAGAGACTCGATCCAGAAGTTGAAACACCCGTCTGCTAGCACCTGCAGCTTTCATTGCTACTGTATACAATGATGACAGACCAGATACAGCAGACCCCACTACAAGATTGAGACAGTCAAATATAATCTGTGTCAGTTCAAACGCAGCAGATTAGAATGCCACTGGAAATAAATTAATGCACAATTAGACTAGTACATTGATCAACTAGAGACTATAACATCTGTAGATGATAAAAACTTTCACTTGATGATGTGTAGTGATATCGTTCACATGTAGGTAGTAAAAATTTTTTGGCCAACAAAATAGACATTAGAACTCACCTGTTAAACTATAAAGAATGAAAGATGTAAGGTCACCCGCAGACATGGAACCCTTGATTGTCAAGTTAGCTCCATATATAACAACTACAATAACGGACAGTGTAGATGCTGCATTGAGGCCTCCAGAGAAGAGTCCAACCACTTTCTGTGCATCACCAAGGCACAAGAAGCCCAATGGTTCAGATTGGGAAAGGCTAATAGATGCATATATATTCAAGCACACCGATCAAAATAGAACATGGGCAACTCACAGCCTGTTTAAGTCCAAGCTTAAGTGTTTCTTCAACTTTCTCAGAATATCGTGCTATTTCATGTTCTTCTTGGGCAAAAGATCTCACCGTTCTTATAGCGCCAAAGGATTCCTAATTAACAATCGTACGCAAAATTAATATCAGATAAAAATCTCAGACTCAGCTTTAACTTCCCATAAAATTTACAATTTTTAATAGAATAGACATGCCTCAGCGATCGAAGAAGCTACTGCTGCTGCAGCTTGAGTTTTGTGAGAAAGTTCACGCAAGAACCGGCCAAATTTACGAACAGCAACAGAAATAGCAGGTACAACAGCCAAAGCCAATACTAGATGATTTTGCCAAAAGAAAAATTAGGATGAATGTAGAGAAAATATATGACAGCATGCCTCCATGTGACATTGTGCTTGTGTGCAGTTATTTAAACAAGCATCAATTTACAAGCACGTACAAGTTAACTTCCATGATGTTGCCAACATGAAAGAGAGACCGATAAAGGCAGTTGATAAGTTTCTTAAGGCCTCAGAGAGATTGGTAGTTGCGGCGTTCTTTATTATCTGTGTATCTTCAGATAGCCTGCTTAGAAGCTCTCCAGTTCTAGTAACATCGTAGAAGGCTATCTCCTGCAAATTCATCATGCAGAATAAGCAACACTATGTTCTAAAGCATTCACAAAAAAAGACAAAAAATATTATCTTCTGAGGCGAGGGAAAACAGACCCTCCAAAGTTCAATGTTCTACGCTCCAAATGACCATATATAACATAAACAAGGAGAAGCAATGAAGATTTATCAATGAGAATGTTGGCTTACTTGGTGTACAAGATGACTAAACAATCTTTTTCTCAACCGTGCAACAACCCTTTCGCTGGCAGAAGAGAAAAGCCATGCTCGCAGTGCCGTGGAAACTGAACTGAAAATTTGAGAAAATTTAGAGAACCACTCGGGTTATCAGAAAATAAATATGGTGGATCAAAAACCATAGTTACATCCAGGTCCACCTAATCAAACACAAGATCAAACAGGCAGTGCTCAAGCAAGGATCATACCCCACAACAACAATCAGAGAGATAGATAGTATGGTGCTCTTGACAGCATCCAGAGCTTTAGCTTTCTCCTCAGGGGTTGAAATATTTCCCGAAACAATGTCAATTATCTTCCCACCAAATTTTGGCTGAAGCAGGAAGAAAACAATTCCGCGTTCATTAGAATCTTGGTTTATAAGGATCTGGCCAGCAAATATACATACATACATACCCACACACACACAAACACATATATAACAGGATTTTGAATTTTGCAGAGGCGCAGAAGCCATTGGAAATGATACATACAATTAAGATGCTTGAAGTGGATGCAACCAACAGAGCCACTGTCGCAAGTATCAACTTCCCAGCATCAGGCTTCGCCTGTACTTAATAACAATAAAATGTAAGACTTAAAAAGCCTAGAAATTTTAATGATAACAAAATACTGCCACCAAACCATCCAAAAAAACTCCTGCTAAAAGGATGCCCACTTACAAGTGAAAGCACTCGACAGAATCCCACATTTGCAGCCTGATAATTTTAAGCATAAAATTAGCAATTATGCTAAGAGATACTAAGGAGAGGTTTCAACGAAGTATGAAAAATGATTACCGGTAGAGCGTCACCATGTTCAAGGTCATTCAGCTGATCAGCTGAGGCATCATCTCTCTTTCTTCCTTCCTGTACATAGGGGAAATATAGGTATATTAGGATAAAAGCAATTTTCAAAGTCTGTATAAAATATTTCTCAAAATTGTTTCATTAAACACTGGTTGGTCACTAATAGGATTATCATTATCTTTTTCAAAAATGAAGAGTAAGCCAATAAGCCATCCATTAAACATCTTGTGCAGTTAGTATCGTTTCCATGATGGAAATAACCATGACTGGGGCGTAGCAGTGCTCAGACAAGAATGCCATGCAGAAAACAGTAAGTTCCCATGGACTGGGGGAGATGATTCCTCAGAACACAAGAAATCAAATTCAAATTAAAGCTGAAAACCAAAAGACTCTTGTTCTTAAAGTCCAGAGTTGGAAATGAAACACAGACATAGAAGCATCCGATGGACACCGAACTTCTTCGTTTCAAAACATCTACAGTTGCATTTCCAGGATCAAAACAAAGGACTTAAAACAGAGAGATAAAACTGTAATCATCCAAAGTACCAAACTTCAAGGAAATTAGTAACTTTCACAATTAACAGGTAAAAAGCATATTCCAACGATAATCACGCAAGCCCCACAAGCCATAAAACCGGAAAGCAGGCACAGAAATCTACTTATTAACTCACAAATCAAAATCTGGGCATTATTGACGGCAACCGAAATACCCAAACGAGGAAGAACGGAAATATGAGAGAAAAGAAGCATCCCTGACTTACCCCGTTTTCCAAGAGGGGAGCTCTTTCACTTCTGGTCTCCCGCATCGTCGACTCGGCCAGCAAAACAACTATTGCTATGATGCTATATACTATACATGTCGGTCGTGAAATATACACGAAATTATTTTATTGCTCAAACTGAAAGGGGAAGAGGCCAAATATGAAATATCAGCCAGAACCACGAGTGATCACATATGGCTCAGTCATGAACTCATACCCAAAAGAGGTGCCGAGAAGTCAACAAGGGAAATTCCGGCTTCGGTTGAACCTGTACGTCATACTTAATATTGCAGAGAATTAACTTTATAAAAAATAAAAAATAAAGTTGGAACAAATTTTGTCCACGCAAATTTCGGAATTTAAAAATGAGACCCGGGGCTCGATGCGCGTGGCTTATAACTACTACAAGATAAAATATTTGATGGGCATTCTATGGGCAAAACCTCATGAGTTTTTGCCCTTGTCATAAGCGGTGAGGGAAAGTTACTATATGGTGATAACGACATATACAACTTTTACAAGTTCTTGTTCTTGATGGTCATAAATAATAATACTAATGGTCATGAGGAGTTTGGAACAGACAAAGAGAAAGACGCCAGCAGCATCGTCATCTTCAGTCGAATGAGCAACTTTTGCAGGCTTGTTTGTTTGCTTTGATTCGTTAACGTGTGGTCCTTGGAGTCATATGCATTTTGATTCCCACCTACAATAGTTATTACTGTACCATCTTCCAAATTATCTTTATTGATCGTACGTATTCCCAATTAAAAGAAAACCATAATTGAGTAAAATCAAAATATATTTATTAATAATAACCAACTTAACCAATTTTTTAATATCTCTAAATTAATTATCTAATTTTTATATTTTATTAATGTTAGTGCCTATTTCGTTAAGTAGTGAGAACTCAAATAAACCCGTTTAAATCAAAATAAATGATTACAAAGCATTTTTATCCTGTTTGTATAATTTTATGAAATCTCGATAAATCGTAATTTTACTCTTCCACCGCATTTTTAGAATAAGTATCAAGGAGTAGCTTATGCATTTGAAGGATCCTGATCAATTTTTATCAACTAAATTTTTTTCAATTTACCTCCACACACTTTTCTGAAAATCTCTCCCCAAATAATTATATTTTAATAATATTTATTAAATTCATGCCTTTTGATAATTATATATCCATAAATAATTTTAATAAATAAAAACCAAACATAATCATAATTTTTAAAGTCACTTGTAAAAAAAATATTTAAATATAAATCATAATTAACCATGATAATCTAAAATGACGGTGCATTTAAAATTCACTGTCCCTTTGTCAGTATTAAGGCGTGAGGAGGGCCTGAGAGGGGCTTCCGAATGCACTCGATCAAGGCCCACCGTATATGCTATCTTCGTTTTTGATGCTGCTTTGATTTTAAAATATTGAGTAATTTTGAAAAAATTGATAAATATAAAAAATAAGTCTTATATTGTTCACAAAAAAAAAGGGTCTTATATTTAGAATCAAAATTAACTCAACAACTGGGTCTTATATTAAGGACCCATTTAACTAATTTGATTAGATTAAGGATAAGTTAGTTAATTCTAAAAAATGTGACACGTTTTTTCTAAAACACCATAATCATCTTTCTTAATACCCCTCTCCCTCTTCTACTTGATTATGGTTAAGAGAGTATCCATAGTGATAATTTAGAGAAAATTGATAAATATGAGAAATGGGTCTTATATTTATGACCAAAACCAACTTAATAATTGGGTTCTATATTAAGAATCGGAGGAGTATTTAATATGAGATAATGGTTTAAAAATCAGATAATTTCCAGAAAAAACTTAAATATCCAAATATTTGGACATAATAAATCCGTTTGTGAGTGTTTCTGTTTTTGTCAGTTTTATTTTTTGGGGGAAACAAGGGCTTGCTTGCAGATGAAGCGGGGCAAGAATAAGAAGAAAGTTAGTGGGCCTCTTGTTAAAATTTAGCAAGTTTTAGCCCAACATACCCGAAAGTCCAATCCTATGCTTTATCTATGTGATCAACAACGGAAAATTTTGGCGGCCCTGTGGGCCGGCCTATGAGGTATTAACAACAAAAAGAGAGCTTTTATTTTATTTATTTATTTATTTGCATCATAACCATGATCATATAAAGTATCTAGTGTGCATATTACTAAACCGGGCTCAATCATTGTCGATCGTAATTAAAAGGGGAGTAAGATCATTTTACCAAATTCTAAAATCACATTTTGGCATAAGATCTTGTCTAACGTTTTGTGATTTTGAGAGATTGATTTGAGTTTTGACTAATTCACGGTATCAGACTGTCTCTTTCCCTTTTTGAACCAAGTAATTTTTAAAATAAAAAAGTACTACATCTATTTTCTAATATAAAAATTAGTTTAATTTTTAATTTGATTTTAAATATAAGACTTCTATCTATTCTATCTCTCATATTTATTTATTTTTTTTAAAATAGTTACACATGTTAAAAATTCGATCAAATTGTAGTTCTAATTAATATACGTGATTAGTAAGTATATTTTAAAGAAAACAATACCTATTATTATAAATAATTAATTTAATCAACTATCTCAACCTACTCAAATTAATCAACTCCTGTATCAATCACTGGAGCTACAGTATTATCATAAGGAGGTTTCCCGCGAATAAGTGGTTAGTTAGTTAATATGGGTATTATTTTTCATATGAAGTGCTGACTCCGTATCAATGTTTCGGAAGGGAATGCTCAGTTAAGTGATTACGGCAAGATTCGTTTTCCGAGTATTGAGTATTCCATTTTTCCCATTTTCTCAAAATCTGGCTTTTAATGCGGCGGTGGAAATTTCGTGACCAGAGGAGTTGAGAAGCGACTTTCTGTCTGCTTCATGCCTTTCAAGTTTTTCGAGACTTTCGATTTGAAATTTGCATTATTTCATATATTAATAATAATAACTAGTAATTCATTCAAATGCTTATCTTGGTTCGCAATGGTGTTTTGCTTTGTTGCAAGGACAGTGAACAAGATGACTGATTGGACTTAATTAATATACAACAATGAAATGGGATGTCATTAGCTGGACTCCAGATGGCTACGTTGTAAGCAATAAAACTTTTTAAATATGATAAAGTGCCAGGAATCAGTGATATGATGCTAATTGTGCACATGTTATGTTCTTGTTAGAGGACCTAGAACAGAAAAAGAATTGATATCAATGTAAAATATAAAATCTACAGTATCCGTGTAATGTGCGAGAACCCAACTAGTCTGACCTAAACAATATCCTTATTTTAACAGGCTTCACTAGTTATTATTCTTTGATGTTGTACGTTGCTATTCTGTTACTTGCTATCATCTCCCATATTTTTCTGCTTTCCTAGCATTTTGAATCCTTCTTGTTTGGTTGTGCAGGCCGTTGTTTCAATGTACAGCTTTCAACAGTATTAGCGTGGAGGTGGGCGAAAGAGGAAGTTATTTGGAACATGATGGGAGGCCAAACCACAGAGCAAGGAGATTGCTCAAGGTTCAAAGGGAACATCCCACGATGCTGTAAGAAGGATCCTACAGTGGTGGATTTATTGCCAGGAACTCCTTACAATCAACAGATTGCAAATTGTTGCAGAGGAGGAGTACTAAATTCATGGGCTCAGGACCCAGCCACTTCAGTTAGTTCATTTCAGCTAAGTGTAGGTTCTGCAGGAAAATCTAACCAAACCGTCAAATTGCCCAAAAATTTCACCCTCAGGGCACCAGGTCCAGGATATACTTGTGGTCCTGCAAAGAAAGTGAAACCAACGAAATTTATTACTAATGACAAGAGGAGAACCACTCAAGCATTGAGTAAGTAACTTTCCAAAGAGCTTTGTCTTGGAAATTCACAGATACTTGTGTCCTAAACTTTGTTGATGAAAGTCAAACATAAATATGCGCATATAAGCGCTTGAATGCCGCATTTCCAATTGTTATCAATGGCAGTATTCTCTTTGGTGATAAAATGGAATTAACTTCTCAGTAAACAAATATGTTATGGAACTAGCTTGAAATATTGTTCGTGTTTTTGACATTGATCAGAAGAGTTCTAAGCCGGAAAGGCAAATTTGTTCGTTCCAACACAGCCCGCATCTTGTGTGGCATTGACCTGGAATATTACCTGCACATACTCTCAATTCCTAGCTCAAAAGACACCAACTTGTTGCGTGTCTCTCTCATCTTTCTATAACGAGACAATAGTACACTGCCCAGCTTGTGCCTGTGGCTGCCGAAACAGAACAGACGCTGGGAGCTGCGTGGAGTAAGAAATTGGTTTAATCTTTTTTCAGAAACTTGATAATTCCTTTTCATGTTTCCATGCTGCATTTTCTAAGTAAACTTCATCACCCCTTCCCTTCTCGGATTTCATCTTGCAGCCGAGATCATCCAATATTAGCTTCAGTTGTATCGCCTCCAGGAAAAGCCGTCAACTCACCTCCTTTGGTTCAGTGTACCAGCCATACGTGCCCAATTCGAGTGCATTAGCGTGTGAGGGTCAACTATAAAGAGTACTGGAGAGTGAAAGTCACAATCACAAATTTCAATCACAGGATGAACTATACACAGTGGAACCTTGTGGCGCAGCATCCAAATTTTGATAATTTGACCCAAATTTTCAGCTTTAATTACAAGCCATTAGCACCTTATGAGGGATTAAGTAGGTGGCATCCTTCCTAATTATAAATCTTGTTGAGATAGCAATCCACTGCTTTATATAACTGTTGTGGTATCTAATTTTGCAGACGATATTGGCATGATGTGGGGAGTTAAATTCTACAACGATTTGCTTACTTCAGCTGGACCGCTTGGGAATGTGCAAAGTGAGCTCTTGCTTTGAAAGGACAAGTTCACTTTCACATTTGACAAGGGATGGGCTTTCCCATGAAGGATTTATTTCAATGGGGATAATTGCGTCATGCCACCTCCAGATTCCTACCCATGGTTGCCAAATGCAAGTTCAAAACTTGTTTCGTCTCTTCTTTCTCCAATCTTAGCTATCCTACCTTCCCTGGTGATCATATTGACTCCTGCATAAAGAATCATGTCTATAGATAAGTAAAGGTTCGACTATTCTGGAATATTCGATGATTCTCAGGTGCTCTGGGTTATCAGAACTAAAGGCAAATCTGTTGCCCAGAATGCATTGAAGCTGCAACTGAAACAGTAGAAAGTGACGTATGACTGTTCTGTGACTTCCATGTTCACATTCATAGCCGATCCACTGTATAATTGTCCAGATTATAAGCTCGAATTAACGTAGATTGTTGGC